TGGGTCGTGGGCACATTCACTACATTTGTTGCACAATCGACATGAGCCGATTTTATTTGTGCGAGCCCTGCATTGTGGCGGGCCGTGTCTGTGTGTAGAAATGAGCACTGGGTTGTGGGCATTTTTAGTACACTCATAACACCATCGGCCGTGGCCGGAACACCAGAAATGGCACTCTTTATGTGATATATCTGGGTCGCCGTGAAAACGGCTTTTGTGTGCAGGCAAGCGGGCCGTGTTGCCGACTTGTTTACTGCAGAATACACTGGAACAGTCGCATTTCCTGGAACTGAACGAGCGAGATGTTTCGGTGAAAGTCTGGCCGCGGCGGGACTTGAACACCGTCGTTTTCCTAGAAGGGCTAGGACGACTTTGAGGCCTCGGGCTTGATCTCAATCCTCGGCCGGGGCACACGCGGAGGGGGGCGGCGGCCAGAAGAGCGAGAGCGCGGTCTCTGATCCCGGGCCTGGTGACGCTGTGAAGCAGCGGCGGGCGGAGGCTTTGGCTGAGAGCTTCGAGCAGACGGCTGTTTAGGGCGACCTGCTGCAGAGCTAGCGCGCTTCGGGAGGAAGTGCTTCAAAGCCTGTGACGTTTTTTGAACTTCGACAAATCTTTCCGCGAAATCTTTGACGGAAGATCGGAAGAGGCCCGTCGGGGAAATGGGCGCGTCGAGGAACACAGAGCGCTCCGTATCCGGCATTTCCGACAGCGTCAACCATAGATGTCTCTCGGCGACAGTGAGAGAAGCCATAGTCCGCCCCATAGCCTGTGCAGCACATTTCGCGGCGCGAAGAGCCAGGTCTGTAGCGCTCCGTAAATCCGGCATATTGATAGCACCCGGGCCTTCCTCGTCCAGTTTTCGGAGAAGGTCGGCCTGGAGTATCTGCAGTATAGTCATCCAGTGGAGTGACGATACAGCCTGCCCAGCGGCGGTGTAAGCGCGGGAGTGCATGGTAGTGCGGCAAGCCTTAGATGGTAGCGCCGTCTTAGCTCGCCGTCCAGCAGAGGGCGGGCAAAGATGGGCTGCTACGGCTTCCTCCACGGGGGGGAGCGAGAGGTAGCCTCTGTCTTTCGCACCGTCCACCACGGAGAATGCTGCAGAGACAGAAGAACGCACTCGGGCTGAGAAGGGGGCGTTCCAGGATTTCGCGACCTCTTCGTGAAGCTCAGGAAGAAAGGGGGCGGATCTGGAAGGCGGTGGGGCGCGGTCTCCTTAAAGGAAGCACCCATCCAGTCGGTAGCGCACAGGCTGCGCGGGCGCCTCCCACTCAAGGCCGAGGCTCGCCACGGCCTGCGAGAGTAGACGCATCAGCTCCGACTCGATACTGGCTCGTTTACCTGACGGTCCACGGGCGGAGGAGGGGAGGTCCACAGAGCTCGCCCAATCCTCGCTGTCCGACGCCAGTAGAGAGCAGCCGGCCTCCTCTGCAGATAATGCTGGCTCGTCGTCACCGGCAACGGAAGCGGCCGCGGCCGCTGTCCGTCGGTGAGTGAGCCGAGCGAAGCTGGCGAAGCTGGCGAAGCTGGCGGGCGAACCGGCGAGCATTCGCGGGCTGGAGAAGGCTCAGGGACCCGTTGAGTGCGACGTTTCTTACGGCGCGGCGCTGTAGCAGGTGGTGGTGCAGTTTCGGAGAAGAATGCCAGGCGAGTCCTCAGAGTCACCATAGGCAATAGCTCGCAATGAGGGCATCCGCCGTCAGCGAGCGCGAGAGCTGCATGATCCTCTCCCAGGCAGGAAACGCAAATCACATGGCGGTCCCCGTCGCTGAGTGGGGCTCGGCACGAGCCACAGGATAAAGGCATCTTTAAAAAGACGCAGCTCTTTTAGAAAGGTGAGTCGCGGCGGCGAACACACACTTAGCAGAGTGTAAAAGGATATAGTACGCCGGGTAGCGTAGCAGGAACGGCGACTGAAGACGGCGAAGTGAAGGCCAGCGGTTTCAGATGCAATGGCTCGTCCTGCAGAAGGCTTTTTCCAACGGCGCGGCTTCTCACTCCGGATCCAACGCTGCGTGAGCTACGTTGAAGAGATGAAAAATCTGTGATATCAGCCCATCGAGCCATATTTATAGGGCTAGGCCACGCCTACTCTGGCGGGAAGGTGACGCAGTGGGCGGGAAGCGCCCCCATTGGACCGTCACCGAAGGGCCTCTCTCGATAGGCTGCTGCAGTTGCAGCAGGACAGCCAATAGGCACGCAAGCCGCCTTTGCCTATGTCTGTATTCTGCCGCAACGCGTTTTACATTAATTCAAAATTAAGGATAATTTTTTGGCTTCCATATCTCGTGGAAAAGAGGTTTTCCCCTAGCGTAAGATATTACGCAGTACGAGAGAACCTCTCGTAAGAGAACCAAGTTATTTTTTTAAATATGTGAACACATAATAATTTAGGTACCAAAACCCGTAGAATGTTCACTAAACAAAACTAAAAGCTCAAGGGCAGCTATTACTATTAGGATGTAACTTTATAGCTGCAAGAAGATTAACATTTTTCATGTGGTTTTATTAGATCTTGTACTTGGATGCTGCAACAAATAACAAAGCATCAACTGCATTCTCATGAGATCAACCCAGCCATGAAGGCTTACCATCAAGGTATTTTTGCCATGACAAAACACACATCTGGAGAAGTGGCAGTTTTTTATATTTCAGATTTTTTTTATTAACTTATAATTGGATACCAGAAATTATAACTTAATATTCTAAAGTAAAAGTAAACCTTGCTGAATGTCATTTAAATTTGTTTTTAGAATGCTTGAAAAGGATAAGTCAAACTAACTTTAGTCACAATCGTAGATATCGGCTACTGTAATATTATAAGTTACACAACACAACAGCATAATACACAAAACTAACAAGGCACTTTTAAGTTAATAATAATAAAAAATACTTACCAAAATGTGTTTTAATCCATTAGTTTCGCTGTAGTCAGTTATTTTTCAGTAAGCTTCCGGGATGCTGTAGTAGATAGTTCTACCAGACAGGCTTTGGTACTAGCGATTTGATTGAAGACCAACAGCCAATCACAATTGACCTTTAATTTTCCGATTGGTTGATTTTGTGGCACACTTGTAACGCTGTTGCAAGTTGAGCGAGCGTGTGTCAAGAGTTGAGCGCGCACAGAATTAAGAGGTAGAGAGAGAGAGAGAGGGACTTGACAGGAGCGCAGAGAATAAGTTTGAGAGAGCACCTGTAAACTGCGTGAGAGGGGTTATTATTGCACGTTAATATGGATAATAGCAAATACAGTTATTGAGCACGGAATCGTTTTTTCTTTGGTCAAATGAATTTTTTTTTTGCGATTGTTAATTTCTGTTCAAAATATAATGCACTGTGCTTTCAAAATATAGTTCTCTGTACTCAAAACTTACAATTACTCGCTCAGGATTGAGGCACACATATAACGCCATACTATCTCTACCTTAAAGGGTTAGTTCACCCAAAAATGAAAATTCTGTCAGTAATTACTAACCCTCATGTTGTTCCAACCCCGTAAGTCTTCCGTTCATCTTCGGAACACAAATTAATATATTTTTGATTAAATCTGAGAGCTGGATCACTCCTCCATAGGCTTCTTAAGGGATCGAAACTGACCGGCCCAAAAGTTATTAAAGACATCGTTAAAATAGTCCGAGTGACTACAGTGGCTCAACCATAATTTTATCAAGCGACGAGAATACTTTTTGTGCGCAAAAAAACAAACAAAAATAAAGACTTTATTCAACTAATCATTTCCTTCTCTGTGGGCCGTGATATTTCACGTAGTGAAACTACGCAAAGCTTCTAGGTTGTACGTCACGCATCACACACGACCAGCGTCGGCCAATAGTGAGCCTACGTGTGACGTACAACCTAGAAGCTTTGCGCAATATCACTACGTGAAATATCACGGCCGTACAGAGAAGGAAATGATTAGTTGAATAAAGTCGTTATTTTTGTTTGTTTTTTGCGCACAAAAAGTATTCTCGTCGCTTGATAAACTTATAGGTTGAGCCACTGTAGTCACTCGGACTATTTTAACGATGTCTTTAATAACTTTTGGGCCGGTCAGTTTCGATCCCTTAAGAAGCCTATGGAGGAGTGATCCAGCTCTCAGATTTAATCAAAAATATCTTAATTTGTGTTCCGAAGATGAACGGAAGACTTACTGGGTTGGAACAACATGAGGGTGAGTAATTACTGACAGAATTTTCATTTTTGGGTGAACTAACCCTTTAACGAATGCCCACCCCCCACCCCACCACCCCACCACCCCACCACCAATAAAATCCCCATGAAATCAAAATTAAGTTTTTGGGGTTTTAGTGATGTTAGCCTTAGCCTACTGTTATCTATAAGCTAGTGTGCTCCAAAACAATGACACAATTCACATTTAGAAGATAAGCATTCAAAACTGAATATAATATGTTTTGAATCAAAACTGAATCAAATATGGATCAATGATTTTGATAACATCAAACTGCACTACTTCTCATCTTTTCACAACTTCTCATTAGATTTTCTGTCCAATCAAATGCTCTCTAGAATTTAAGAATTATTTAGTTTTATAGACAAGACAACGCTTTGATTTTAGGGCGTGAATAAGAAAAAGCAGTAAAAATAGAAAATATTCTATGAATAAGGCTAATACATAGATCGCAGATCACACTAATAAAACAGGTAGGCTAAATTAAAGCTTCGAACAGCTTCATGTCATATTTTGAATTCTCCCTGGACAGCAGTCATATTCAATCAAGGAGCGCCGCTGCCAGCCAACGGCGATATTTATTGTTACCGGTATTATGATTATAAATAACCCACATCCCTGCCTTTTTAGTAGGCTACCGACCCCTTTATGTAACATCATATAGCCCCGCCCCTTCGAAAGGTTATTATCGTGCGTTCGTAAAGGGGTCTTCTTTCACAATAAGCTACTTCTTCTGTCAATCAACCATTTCCCCGCCCCTCTGCGTTTGGAGCCGTTACTCAACCCTCCAATCCAGATTGTTCTCCTGTCCTGGCGAAATGTATCCGCCCCACTGTCAGTCTCTTCCCAAACTGGGCGCTTGTTTTCTGTCCCGCCGGAGAAAGGAGCTATCCAGCTTTACGTTATTGAAAGGTAACGCGACACATGCACAGTATACGCTTGCTGAGCAAGATCGACGCTACACGTCGTGTTATTTTGTGCTTTGTTTAAGGTTTTCACTAAATCAAATGGGTTGTTGGGTAATATGCGGGTTTGTTATTGGTCAAGGCGCATTGCTAGCGGCTAACGCGGGTCAAAACAGCTCAAGCCAAACACCCCGTGCCTTCCGCCCGGAGTAGATCTAGTTTGGAGATGCCGAGCGAGGCAGGTTATTCATAGCATCAGATATGTTTGTGTATCTAACAGTGCATTACCTGAATGTCAGCTTGCCCTCATGCACGGATGGCTGGACGTTAGACTATTATTTGGATGGGTGAATTGTGTTATGCTCACATGGTGCTTAGTTACCATGTTCATGTGATCTTGTAGAAAGCAGTGCATTCTAAATGTCTTTTAAGTAATATCTGGATCAGCTGTTTGCCCTGTAGTTTTGATGGGTTAAATCTGCTCCACTGCATTCAGTGACACTCATTATGAGAGATGATCAGACACATCCATTTGTTAGTTGACAGCGGTACAAATTTAGGGAAGTATTTTGACTCGATTATTAAGCGCTGGGGAAAAAAAGTATCAAAGTTTGCACAAAAATATTAAGCAGCACAGCATTGATGAAAAGGAATGTTGCTTGAGTTTGACCACCAAAATGATTTCTGAAAGATCATATGACACTTAGAATTGGAGTGATGGCTGCTGAATAAGTTACATTTGAAATTTCAGTAAAATAGAAATATAGTATTTTTAATTTTAATATTTCACACTATTACTTACAGTAGTTTATCTAATAAATGCAGCCTTAGTGAACATAAGATGCTTATTTTTTTAAAAACATAAAAAATCTCCCTGATTTAAATCTTTTGAGTGGTAGTGTACACGTGACTCCAGTCTTCTAATCTAGACAAAGCTGTTTTATTTTACCACTGCTGCTAATAATATGTTTATTTCATATAGTGCTTTCCGTCAGTTAAGACTGAAGCAGCAACAGTTAGTAAGCTAACTTTATGTGTCAAATGTCAATATAAAGTCCAAAACTATTGGTAATATTGGGATAAATGAGAGCCAGCTGAACAAACAATAACTTACAACGTATACAGGTAGTTGCAAGTCATAGACCATTGTTTAGGTATTTTTGCACAGCAAATGTTACAACTTGAAAATAAATGGCATTATTTAGGGGATCTATGACATGTACAATAGCAATTGGTGATATCTAAATGAGCTTCTCCAAGTATAACCACCAGGAACTGCACAGCTTTTTCTAGAGAACCAAGTACTTATGTGGTTCTCTTAAGTCACCATTGATCTGTAACACTATCATTTTCCAGTCAGTTGACTAGATTTCTCTGTTCACTGTTAGTAGCCCATTATAGCCAAAGGCCGTGCATCCAAATTTCACTTTAGCTGAAAGATTCTGAGATATTTTATTTACTTGATTATTTTGAAATGTTTAAAATGAAGTATAAAAAGGTTGTGATCTGTCAATATGTTATCTAGGGCGTTTTCTTGCAGATTTATAATGATTCAATAATACTGTTAACATCTGTTTGGGTAATGTATGCAGTGTTGAAGGCTGTATATTGTGTGTAATGTATTTATGTAAATGGAATTAGATGATATTTCTGTTGATATTTTAATTGAAATATTGTATTATTCACAGATTCTTGATTTTGAAAGCTATCTTCAACGTTTCTTCGTGGTTTCTACTAGGGCTGGGCGATATGGCTGAAAACTGTATCACGATATCAGTGTTTCATATCGGTCGATATCGATAATTATTGATTTTTTTTATGACCCATTTAAAATAAGGACCAGGAGAAAAAATATATATTACATTTAAACATTTTTATTTTAAACTTAACCTTCCTCTGATTACAATCCCAAGACAGAAATGTCAACACAACCATGGAAAACTCAAATAATTAAAATGTAAACATAAGTCTAAATTCACAATCAGACCTGCAAACTCCTCAGAGTAAAAAAGGTGGCAGTGGCGTGGCGGGACGTGGGTGAGGGGGGTTTGTGATCGTATGTGCCCCCTGCTTGATGTTTTTTTTTTGAGACATCACGGTTCGGTACGATTTCGGTACAATGGAGTGAAAAGCAAAACAGAAATATAGAAGGCATTTTTATAAATGTCTTAAGCCTTGTATTTTTTAAATAAGTTTTATTAATAAAGGCATAGAACCAGTTTATTTATAGTGCACTGATAATAGTTTTATATAATTGGTTTATTAATTAAACTAATAAAAAGATAGATATGAGATATGTTTGGTAATTGTACCTGAATGAATTTAAAATTAATTTGCTATATTTCAGATCAATATATTTGTTTTCCTTAATTTTAATTAACCCTAACTTTATTCTCAGCTGAATTATAAATAATTGATTTCCATATAAAATAATCTACCAACACATTTCACTTTCTTTTTTAATCAACGTGTAACTTAAAAATAAACAGATTAGTGCTCTGTTTTGAGGACAAGAAATGAAAACCAATGCGATATGATGAATGTCCAAAAGATGGAACACACAGACTGTTTTACAAAGGGGTTGGATAAATATGTTTTGCTTTTAAAACGGTGTGTGACAGTTGTAGGTTACAGTTTGACAAGAAATACAGTGTGACAAAAGCACAATGTTGTGTTTTATTGCGAGTATAGGCCTACACAAATATAAGTAAACACTTTGCAGACTGAATGATGTCCTGTATTAACAAAATGACGGAGTATGTTTTTATGTCTCCACTGTTCGATCGCGCCCGCGTGTCTCTCTCTCTCGCGCCCGTGCCTACTCTCTCTCTCTCTCTCGCCACACACACACAGACACTCCAGCATTGCAATCTTGACATCGCAGCCTGTTCATTATGCTGTGTTCACATCAAACGCGAATAGAGCGAATTATCCAATAATGTTTCGCAATTCTAGCCTGCATGGCATGCAGATGAAGGGCACTCATTTTCTGCTTATCAATCGCCGGTTACTGAAGAGGAAGGAACCCAGCACCACGAGACAACGATGGCGCAACCAAACTGACACGTTACATGATTGCCTGAGCGTGTCACTCCCTACGTTGCTAGGTTACCAGAGAGCGAGTGCCTTTGATAATGCAACCAAACTTGCTTCGCAACCTGTGGTTTCTTCCGACGAAGAAAAAAAATATCGAACGTTTTATCGAACACATTTTTTATTGATATCGATCACGTGTCTATCGCGATACATATCGCGATACATATTATCGTTATCGTTTTATCGCCCAGCCCTAGTTTCTACGAATGGCCTGTTTTACTGTAGCGTCCTACAGTTTGGCTGCCTTGCACCCTATCATTCACATTAAGAGTCCAAGGTTTTTCTTTGTTCTGATCCAAAGCGTGTGATCAGTCACTGCCATCTCTAGTCTGCATTCATTTCCGTTAACCTACCTTGAATTTGTGTGGTTGCAAAACGACCGGGGCTACGTGCTGCTCAGCCAGCCAAGACTTCCTCTATTGGCAGTTTACCACATGGGTGTTTGAATATGTGATAGCTGTCAACTTGATAAGTGTCTGCTTTGCCTGTCCATGTTCAAAATAATTTGCATGGTGCCCGCCTCCGTTATATGGACAATTATTTTTTTATACTGCTTTGCATTTTGGTGGTCATCATCAGCTGTATAAGGGCTGTTGAAGAGTAGCTTGAATCCTTCATTTTATAGAGTTTCACCTTTTAGCACTCTATTCCTGTTTCTGTTCGCGTGTGGGTCAATGGCATTATACACAATTTGTCCTTTTTTATTTATTCATAAATATATTTTAAATCTAATTCATACAATTATTTGAATACACTTCCTTCATGATTAACCTTTTTTATGTATTTAAAAAATGTCAACTTTCCTGATATGATAAGGATATCAAAGGACAGACAAAGCAATAGTGACACATGGTGAAAACGGAAAACAATGTTACACTGTTACATTGTTACACATTACTGTCGGCTCCAGTAAAAAAGCCTGCGTCAAACTGTGTTTTGTTTAAAAATGACATGCATTGTCTTACTGATGCAATCTGGAACTTCGTTAAAAATAAAGTTCATCCACACTTTCTTAAGATCACAAGAAGCAGGCAATGCAAAGACTGCAAAAAGTCTTGTAGTCCTCAGAGGCATCTAATCACAGTAAGTACTGTGTTTTTGTCTCTCTCTCTCTCTCTCTCTCTCTCTCTCTCTCTCTCTCTCTCTCTCTCTCTCTCTCTCTCTCTCTCTCTCTCTCTCTCTCTCTCTCACCTCCCACTACATGTGCAAATCGGTGGGCGGGGCTAAAGAGGCAATGATGTAGAAGTAGGCATTGATCTTCTTCTGCTGATGCCGTCTTTTGTCAGACTTTAAGCAGCTTGGTTTCTATAAAAGCTGTTTTTGGGCTGAAAACGTACAGGATATTTTTTAGTACAAGTCAGACATTGTACTCTTATGTCAAAAGATCAAGTACATTTTGATTTCTCAATTTATGACCCATTTGATTAAGCCCACACTGTGAAGAGGTAAAGTCAGTTGCAATAATGTCTCTCTCTCTCTCTTTCTCTCTCTCTCTTTCTCTCTCTCTCTCTCTCTCTCTCTCTCAATTCAATTCAATTCAATTCAATTCAGCTTTATTGGCATGAATGTGTACAATAGCACAATATTGCCAAAGTCTCTCTCTCTCTCTCTCTCTCTCTCTCTCTCTCTCTCTCTCTCTCTCTCTCTCTCTCTCTCTCTCTCTCTCTCTCTCTCTCTCTCTCTCTCTCTCTCTCTCTCTCTCTCTCTCTCTCTCTCTCTCTCTCTCTCGCTTTGCCATTGGCCATTAAAGGATTAGCTTGGGCAGACACTCTCATTAGATGGTTTTGCCAAGCACAGCTGTTTAAAGACTGCAGTGAGGTGATTGGATTTGTTCTGTGTGTTCAATAAGGGAATAGATGGTGACCAGTTTGTTCCAGGTTCACGGCATAGTCTACAGTACATTAATGATTCATTGTTATTAGTTGGACTGATGATGTCCAGCTGTAGGTCTTTATATCCATTTATTATTCAAACCTACTGCTCTCTGGTTTGATCTACAGAACACATTCAAGCTGTGAAACGATGCCTTCTGATTGACATCAACAGCAACAACTGTCCATCATGAACAGCGAGGAAGAGTTCTATGATGCTGAGACAGGTATGGAATTAAGTTAAGTAAGGTACATCACATTTTCTCGCCACCTATAGCTAAATCTCTCCTTCCGTCTCAGGTTTGGAATCAGACGACTCGTGTGAAGTCAGCTTTAAAGATGCCTGCGTCTATGCGATCAAGCAGAGGGTGAATGGCAAAGTGCCGTCTGAGAATGGAGTGTTGGAGAGGCGGTAAGGTGTCAGAATAATGTGAAATAATATAGCGGCAGGAAACAGAATGTGAAGATCTTTATCTGTTGGATTGAGTAATGTATTAATATGTGTGTCCGTGTGCTCAGAACTACTCTTCCAGCGCCCATGTTCTCCAGAAATGACTTCAGTGTATGGGGCTTCCTGAAGAAATGCATTGGAATGGTGAGCGTAGGCTACTTTGACCAAACAACAGCTTGGTCAAAAGTGCTCAGTTTAAACAAAGCATGAAATAGGAACTTCTAAAAGAAACATCTTATGTAGATTGTATTGTCGTTGTCCAAGCCATGCCAAGCCAGTTCTATCTGGGAATACTTTATCTTTGCAGGAGCTGTCCAAGATAACAATGCCTATTGTTTTCAACGAACCACTGAGCTTCTTGCAGAGGATTACAGAGTACATGGAACATACATACCTCATCCATAAAGCTTGTAAACATTCGGACTCTATTGAGCGTATGCAGGTTAGTACCTCCTCTATTATTTACTCTCACATGTGTGCTTGCATGGAAGACTCAAACAAACCCTTTTGCATCTTATTTGTCAGCTTGTTGCAGCGTTCGCCGTTTCTGCAGTTGCTTCACAATGGGACAGAACTGGAAAACCTTTTAATCCTTTATTAGGAGAGACTTTTGAGCTTACAAGGTAAATGTACAGAGCAAACGCTATACGTCTTCTACAAAATTAGCTTGCACTAATGATTTGCATATCTGTGCTCAGGGAGGATGAGGGTTATCGCATGATCTCAGAACAGGTGAGCCACCATCCACCAATCAGCGCCTTCTACGCAGAGTCACTCAATCAGGACTTCTCGTTTCACGGCTCCATCTATCCTAAACTGAAATTCTGGGGGAAGAGTGTGGAGGCTGAGCCTAAAGGCACCATGACACTTGAGCTGTCCAAGTGAGTATTATTCATGTGACAACACCAAGTACAGTATGATCACTTTTTTTATTGGAGCTGGAGAGTCACTGAGATATTCAAGCACAGTCACACCCTTGAGCAAGGCACGTAACCTCTCTCTGTCCTCAGTGAACTGTAAGTTGCTTTGGAAGTAGCTTTATTTGCTAGATAAAGAGCATGCTGGAATGTCCATTTATTATTCAGCATGTTTTGTAAGTGTATAAAAGAGATTTAGTGTCTGAGCTCTTTTTTAATTCTTCATTAGTTAAGATGACCTAAAGGACAACACTTGAACAACACTTCTACAGCATTTGTTAATTTCTACATTAATACATTTTTTAAATCAAAAGTCATCTGTTAACATTAGTGAATGCATTGCGAGGTATTATGAACAAACAAAGAAACAATTGTATTTTTACTAACTAACATTAACAAAGGTTGTAAATGCTGTAAAAATAGGTTACACTTTATTTTAAGGCGAAGTAGTTACATTGTACTTACTCAAATAAATATGTACTTACTATAGAGGTTAGAGTTTGGTTTAGGGTTAGTTACTTGTAATTATGCATAGTAAGTATATGTAGTAACATGTGACTACGTCACCTTAAAATAAAGTATTATCTAAAAAATATATTGCTCATAGTTAGTTTATGTTAACTAATGTTATAATTTTTTTCCTCAGGCACGGAGAAGCTTACACATGGACAAACCCTATGTGCTGTGTGCATAATGTTATTCTGGGTAAACTGTGGATTGAGCAGTATGGGACAGTGGAGATTGTCAACCACAGGTATATCATCTCTTTCCTTTCTGACACTAAATATCCGACCTGCATTTTCACTCTATACCATTTTACAGCATTTATATAATGTTGTCGAATAGGCTACTGATCCACATGTATCATTGTGGATCAATGTTCACCCAGTGTGGTTGTTGCCTTATTCTTGATTGGGAAACCTCCTCTCTGTTCATTTTAGCACTGGGGACAAGTGTGTGCTGAATTTTAAGCCATGCGGCATGTTTGGCAAAGAGCTGCATAGGGTTGAGGGATATATCCAGGACAAGAGGTGAGCAGTCGTTCGTATCAAATGTCAGTGGGTATATCTGGCTCCTTGCCTGTAGTGTTCACACTGCACATTCACTCAGTCTGTAGCACTTAAGGCATCAGCAATGTCTTTTACAGATGGATTGTAAATGTAGTTTTATTATTACCTTTTTATGGATTTGATGTTTGTATATATGACTCATTGTTTTTGGGTGTATTTCAGTAAAAAGAAGCATCACGTTCTCTACGGGAAGTGGACGGAGTGCGTATTTAGCATTGAGCCAAAAGTCTTCGAAGCCAACAGGAAAGCAGAGAAGAAAAGTGGAGGAGATTCCAAGAAACACAAGCAGGTAAAATGTGTTAGTCATTTATCTCTTACTGCAGAGCCATACTTTTCTGTTATGTTTTCACATGGAAGTCCAAAAGGGCTCTGCCGCATCCTTAATAGAGGTTGCAACACTATGCCAACCGAAAAAGTTTCAGGATCTTTGCTAAAGAGAGATCAGCCAGAGCGAGTTCTTTCCAATGTGTAACTCTGTTGGAGTTTTGTTTTTTATGTCACTATTCAAACATTATGTCAGATTTTTTCTGTGATATTTAATCAGTAATTTTATTTTATTTCAATAGAATACATATTAAATATACACTACTGTACATGATTTACATGTACATGGTCTGTATGATTTATCAATGTTTTTAATATTATTACAACTCAAAACATCTGTTTTCTATTTTAATATATTTTAAAATGTAATTTATTCCTGTGATGGCAAAGCTGTATTTTCAGCAACATTACTCCAGTCTTCGTTCACATGATCCTTCAGACATCATTCTAATATGATTTGGTGCTTAAGAAACATTTCTTATTATTAATCTTAAAAACAGTTGTTCTTTTTTATATATATTAAAACGGTGATAATTTTGTGTGTGTGTGATAGTTCAAATTCATGGCTGAATAAAACTATTAATTTCTTGAAATCTTACTGACCCCAACATTTGAATGGTAGTGTTAATTGAAAAATAAAATGTAATTAAATAAAATGTTTTTTATTTATTTATATTTCATACAAGTAAACAGTGTTTTATATATATATATATATATATATATATATAACCTCTTTTCCTCCTTTGTATTAACATGCAATTTCTGTGAGAGGTGAAGGTAAAGACAGTGGGTTTTAGCAGTGATGCTACAGTAACTGAGCCACCTTAGTAGAGTTTGTTGTTCAGTTAGTTATGCTATGTGGTTCCCTGATCTTACTCTATCTGTAGTTTTTAATAAACATGGTGCATTTGAGGGCATTAATGGTAGTACTCTATGCATGTGATTAGGAACAGGGTACAGGGGGGGATGATGCAGATGAAATGCCAGATGTCCAGGAGACAGTCACTATGATCCCAGGCAGTGCTCTTCTGTGGAGAATAGCCCCTCGACCGCCACACTCGACACAGGTAATCACAACCTTGGAATTTCACATGGTATTAAAGAGGCCTTATTTTACAAAGTCTTGATTTTGTTTTTGAGGTCTATAAGAATAGGTTTTCATGATTTGAATGTTTCAAAAAGATAATTTTTTGCATATTTTATATTGTTGCAGCAGCTCTCTCCTAGTCTGTCAGTAACACTCTGTTTAGTTCCTGTCTCTATGAAGCCCCTGCTTTCAAAAAGCCCAGTATGCTCTGATTGGTCAGCTTGACAAGTGTGTTGTGATTGGTCAGCCACTTTGAGCTTGTTTTCAAAATGTCACGGCCCTTACCATAACCATGAGTTTCAACACACTACTACTACTGACGCAACACACCCAGGCCTTGCCCCCTTTTTTGGAGGGTAGGAATTATTTAAATGAAGAATATTGTGATGTGTACGTTACCGGAAGAAAACTCAAGACTAAAATGGAGGCGTTTCAAGGAGTTCAGAAACAGTGCTTACTGATATAGAGAATAACTCTCTATGGCGTAGACTTTGTGCTTTGTAACTCTGCAGACCTTTTTCATGCTCAAACAGCAACATTACACACTAAAGAAATTTGAAAATGTAAAAAGCATAATTGGTTGATTGCATCTGACCACATTTCATCTGCAGTACAAATGTCGTAGTAGTGTAGCCAGTGGGGCCTGGCTAATATACAGTATATATTGTGGCCCGTTCATTTTAACATGGGACCCCCCAAAAAAATCTAATTCTGGCTACGCCACTGGCATGTCAACCAAAATGAAATGACACTGGACACTTTCCCGAGACGGATGCTAATACCAGTTGTAAATCCTTCTTGTTTTCACTCTTACAAATGCAGATACTTTATCTAGCTAGTTTTGCAATGCAGTACTAATTCTCTCTTTGTCCTCTTTCCTGGATTCTATTCAGATGTATAATTTTACTAACTTTGCAATGACACTTAACGAGCTGGAGCCTGGCATGATAGGAGTCTTACCACCAACAGACTGTCGCCTGCGGCCAGACATCAGAGCTATGGAGAATGGGGATATAGGTATGGGCAATCTCTCTTTTGGCCCGTTCTGTTACCATCTGTCCTGTAAGCTACCTCTTGGATGTTGCTCTACTTATTTTACCACTAAATTTAGAAGCTACTCTTAAATTCCAGATACTGCAAGTCAAGAGAAAGAGAGATTGGAAGAGAAGCAGAGAGCTGCCAGAAGAGAGCGTGCTAAAGATGAGGAAGAATGGTCTACAAGGTGAGTATTTGGATTAAGAGCACAACAGTGACCGCCCACTATTTCTGCGGTTTGTTTTCTTGGATTGTTTTGCACATTTACAAATTTTGTCTGTAGGCATTAAAAAAAATCCTCCAATGAAGTGTTGAATCAAGCAAGACAGTTCTGAGACTGCAACATTACAACCTTCAAAAACAAAATTCTAAATGAACTATACAGTAAATGATTGCAAAATTTAAATGATAAACTGACTATTACAATAGTTTTGAAATCACATTGACTTGAGGCTTCTACAAAAGCACATATCATCATTTAAATATTTTTGATAGGTCTTGAAAGGATTAAATATTAGTGCAAAAAAAAAGTTTTATCTTCATAACCTTTTTGGCCTCCCATCTTTCAGATGGTTCCAGCAAGGCAATAATCCATACACTGGGGCAGCAGACTGGATCTTCAAGGGTGGTTACTTTGACAGGAAGTACTCTGACCTTCCCAACATCTACTGATTCGGTTGGGAAAACTGAGAGAGGCTTGAGATTCATCCTTTGCTCTCCTTCACTCAGTCCATATCATCTCCTCTCCTTAAGCTCTTTTCAATTTTCTCTTTTTCCTTCGTCGGAGTGAAAGTGATTAGTTTTCGGACAAAGCCTCTTCACAAATTCTGCTCTTCACTAGAATCTGGAAATTCAGCGTGAATTTATTTATTTATTTTGAGAGGTGGGGAATGCCTTAAATTATTCACTTTTTTGATGTATGTTAGATTTTGAGTTAAACATTCTGTGCAAACCTGAATATGTTTAAAAATTGCTAGTTTATGTATGCTAACCTACCTTTCCATGCGTCTCGCTAGTTACACTCAGGTATTCATTTTATGGGTACAAGCGGTTAGTGATGGCATCAATCCAGTGCCATCTGTGAAGATAGCCAATATTTGTGTGATTTATTGAATTGTGCGGTTTCTCAGAACCTATTAGGAGAGCTTAATTTTGTGTTTTTGCTCAAACTAATGCTATTTTATCTCTAGTACATGCTTTTTTTCCTTATCTCAGAAACATGACCTCTGTTTTGGTATGCATGATGTGCAGGAACTTCATAGTTAAAGATTCTGCCTGATTTTGAGTACCTGAGAAGGAAAAGGACTTTATTTTTCAGAATCATCCCATCTATGTTTAGAAATCACGGTTGTATAAGGCATTTAGGCCGTTTTCTCACCATCTCCATGGTACAGGGGAGTTTACTAAAACTAATATTCTCATTCCTCATATTTTAGATCTGTTTTGTTTTTGTTCAACAGACAAAAATGAAAGCTGCTTATGAAAAATGTTTACTTGGTAAAAAAAAAAAACTAAAAAAAAGTTTTTTAATTGTTAAAAAAAGCTCTTATAAAAAACAAAAAATCCTATTTCATCCTGTCATTGATATTTTGAGTATGTTTATGGTTGCCAAAGTCACTTTTCTCTCGTAGAAACTAAAGCCATATAACCCATCAGGACTGCAATGTTGAGTGATCCATCCTGGTGAATAAAATGGAGATGGGTGCTAAACTCAACTTTTTATTTTATTTCACTTCATGGCTCACGAATGTCAAGGTGCTTCACCTTAGTCCACAATATATACTCACATGTACCAAAAAATGAACAGAATGTGCTGCACTGCTCACTTGCTTTTTGCCATACAGCAAGTTTCATTCTGCAAGGACAAATTTTTTCTACACATAAAAATCATAATGACCTTAGAGATCATGAAAGACACCACTGTCTTTTATTTCTAAACTTTAAACAATACTGTGATTTTAACTCGCTATGCAAACATTGATGGGAATGTCTGTCTGTCTATGAATTGTACAATTTTATGTGTCAAAAAGCTTCACTGTTTATGTAAAATCTTCAGTTGGCCTAGTTCAAAAGTGTCAAGCATGCTAGTACTTTTGCTGATGGTTTTACACACTCACGTTGGCTGTTTTGCACTGCCTAAAGTTGGGCAGATGTGTTGTTTGATGTAGACAGGTGTATGTAACTGCAGTGATTAATAACACTCTTATCTAAATATTTGACATGTTTAGCATACACTTAATGGGAGTTCCATCATCTATTGTGTAGCACAAGAATATTTCTCTTTAACATGTTCCATGTAGTGTGTACAATTCCAAAAGCCAAGCTTCGGGCCATGGCCTACTACTTTAAAGGAAATTGAATTCCCTGTGTATTTTATAAAATATATTGTGGCATGTCTAAACATAAATGATTTAATCTCACTATCAATGCTTACTAGCAGTTAGAAGTATTAGTATTTTATCCCACCAGCTGCTAACTTAATGGCTCTAAATGTCCTTTGAATCTTGAGACATTAAAAACAACTCATCCCTAATTGTCTCATGATTTTTTCCCCCCATATTTATCAGTTATTCCTGTAGTAATCACATCAGGTTAACATACAAGTAAACCTTGTCACATTGAATGCAACTATGTAAAGCAAACATACACTCAGAAATGTTTATTTTAAGTAATTCTGTCTATGTTCTTCTTAAGCCGTTTATATTGTTTGTGACACTAGGGAATGACTGTTTCTGTTGTGAAACTATTTCACAGATTGAAACCCAAATTATACCACTGGTGCTATGACGGCTTTACATAATTGTATGTATTGTGACTTTTTACTACATTTGTATAATTCACGTGAAATGCACTTAAACTAATAATTCTGCTCACTTGTAAACTAGCAATATTAATGATATATGTGAGACCTCACTAATGCTAATGAAAGAAATTTCAGTTTTTCTTTTTTGTCTCTCAAGAGACAAGCATCAGTTTGGGATTTTTGACAAACCATTTGGGAGAAGCTTCAGCTTCCTTCAATATGTAAGATGGCGAGAACGTTTATGAATTATTATCTGTTGGTTCTGCATTAACCTAAAATGTGAACTGATCTCTATCAAAGTCATTGATAAAGAGGATTTAATTAAACACATAACAGAAAAAGCATGCTTTCTGTCTTTATTGACTAAGTTGGTTCTGATTTAGGAGTGTGATTATAAGATGATTTAATCATTTATTTGAAAAGGATTGCAAATGCTCAAGAGACAGAGACCTTGTAAGGGTTACTGAATTGCTCCAAGGTCAGACAAATAGTGTTTAAATGAAGGACATTCAATTAGACTGTTACTTGAACAAGCTGTCTAGCTTTATATAATCAATACAAAGGCATATAATAGTTCAGAAGATGACAATCGATCCAGTAATAACTAATATGGATTTCTTCCCATGCAGTACACTAGTCATAAATACAATAAAAAGAACCAGACTTATTTGAAAGCTAAGAGGACAATGATCCTCAACACAAATTGTTTAAGACAGAACAAGCAAAAAATGCCTTGGACAGTGCTACAAGTAATGTATTTGCCCAGCAAAGCACAAGTAATTTGATCTAAAAATGTTTTTAAAAATGTTGAATCGATGCCCTCAATACAGGCCTGAATGTAATCTCACACCTCTAAAAGGTTACATTTACCACTCCAGTCTGTCATTTACAAACTCATAACTCCACAATTCAGTGTTATTTGTGTGGGCATATATTGACGCGCAACTACCAATCAGAACAAAGGACGAAGAAACCTCCACCAATCAAAGACAAGCCCCTCCCCTTCTGCTAGATTGGGTTGGTTGACACCAAAAAGTGGATTAGTAACTAATTATATTCGCACTTCACAATAATGATAATACCTCAGTGTGATGGATGGGTGTATGTTCTCTTGCAAGCTTATTTCACTCCTTGCAACATTCACAACTTGCAAACCATCAAACATGATTTGAATGCAGACAATGCAACATTGTTTAGTGATTTGGAATAATTAAAGACTGTTCATTTATCTTAAGAGGTTTAGTTTTCAGAGCACTCCAGTGAACTCTGAACCAGACTATTTTAATGTTGAGCAAGCAATCTCATTGGTGGCAGAATCAGCAGAGGCCAATCAGCTTGCCACGTTAATGATATGATTGCTTGCAGGTTGCATAAAAAGGACCTATTAGGCTGTGCCATCTAGAGCGTCTTGACTTAACCATTTATATTTAGGCACTGCTCTCTGCTGGAACTATCAGCCCATTAAACTGAGTGACCTGCAGAATGTCTTAGCAACAATGAATGAAAGACAAGGAGGATAGATCATTGTAGTAGTGCTATAAAATTGCTGTCACTATAAGATTGTATTAAGTACTGACATTGTCAACTTTCTTTTTTCAATGGATCTCGCAAGTGTTTTAACATCGAGGTCATGGCACCGATTCAGGTAATGCTGAAGTGCTGCAGAAGCTTGCTAGCCTGGTTAAAACCAGACCATTCTCAGTTGTAACTGAGTTATGGTCTGGCAAAGCGTCATAGACAAATCATTTCCAGAGGAGCGTCACCAACGGACGTCGCGGATAGACCTAAAACCAATCAGAGTGTTGGAGATGACGTATGCAGAGCGGCGGAGAAACATTGTTGCTCCGAGTGTTGTTCTTTGCTCGGTTTTTAACAAAAAGGAAATGTTCAAATTGCTTAAAACAGACGCGATAGCTGATTTGAACGAGTGATGTTCGACGGCGGCATCCATCTTTGTAATGTAGGCTACAAAATCTGCTTCAAAATGCCAGCGCTGTCGGCATCGTGTAAAGCCCGCCCCAACGTTTCTGATTGGTGCCTCGATTTCGGCGGATTGGAAATGAGCTTGAATGAGCTCTTTGCCAGACTAACTTTCAGAGCAAATCTAAATTTGGCGGAAGTTGTCTGGGTTTTCCCAGGCTAGAAGCTTGCCTCCCATCTGGAGAATCTCCCCCTCAAAACATGGAAGAACCCCACAAAATGTTCTTTTACCTTGCCGCAGTTTCAGCAGGTTTGACTACTACTGCATAGTAATGCACCGAACCTTTTTTTTTTTTTTACGGAAACTAAACCTGTCATTAAAGTCTGCATGAAACAGAAATTTGGAATAGTCTTGTCTTCCCTATTGGAAACTAAATCCGAATTAAACTGCTTCTCAAACAAGAAAAAAAATGTAGGGCGGGACTTTATTTTGTCCATCTAAAATTAAATGAATCGTTGTGATTTTCTATTGCTGTGATCTGTGAGTGACTGGTTGCCCCACTAAGAGGGGGAGGGGGAGTTTATTTTGATTAGTGATTTATGAGGGTTTTTTTTTTAATAATGATGTGCACTGATAAATCATTCATAATAAATACTGCAATATTCCATAAAGATAATTGTCAACTTTTATTTCATGGGGATGTTGAGCCCAAAACCAAAATAAAGTTGTGCACACGAAATGGACAATGACAGTGAAAATAGGCCCCCCGAATCGAATAGGCTATTTTCTATTTCTGAAGTTTCGGTATATCACTAATTCTGTATGCTTAATTTCAAAAACAAGTTTGTTAGCATATCTGCTTTTGTACACATTTAATTCATTGATAAATCTAAGATGTGTGAAATAAATGTGGAAGTTGGGATCTTTGAGTCAGTTTGGATTGCTAACAGAAGCTGTAGAGGTGGCCCTTTAAAATGTACACAAACTGATCTGGTTCATTCCAGCTAAAACCTTTTCTTTACAAACTTGTTTATACTTTCATACATTCCTCTCTCCCAGACATCCTTCTATTACGTCGGTAGTTTATACAAAATGGCCTTACAAGGGCAAAACTGATGTACTCTAATGTATCTAGACAATTGTTTTTGGTTAAATTTACATGAATTGTGTAATAAAAAGCAAGCTTCCAATAAGAACAGCTGAAGTTGTTTTGGGGGTTTTTTGTAGACGTGGGAGCGTTTGTCAAGGCCATGGAAGGTGAAGGCAAGTCAAACGAAGAAGGTGAAAGGAGGACGTGAGTTTGGATTCGCCAACTCTCCACATGAGTTAGAGCTTCATGTTTTCTATAGCTAAATGTAATGTTAAAAGTCTTGTCATTTTTTTAATGTTAACACTGTCCTATCCTAGCTTCAAGTTGCAATGAAACACAAGTAGCAACAGATATTCTTACATACTGTGGCATATGTCTGAGTGTAACGGATTATCAAAAAAATCGGAGAGCTTTCTGTCCCTCCATTGACAGCTACGCAGCTACCACTAAGTTCATAAAAAGATTGTTATGTTTAAGCAGTCTCACATTAGTACTTTTTGCTAAACTAATGGCACAGGGGTGAGATTACCTGCATGTCTGAACAATAGGCATTTCACGTTTCTCTTTTAATCAGATCATCTCTTTATCTTTACTAAAAACTTTTTCCAAGTAAAGAGACTTGTAAATAATTTGGCATGTGTAAACCGTGAGAACAAACCTCAGACAAGTGAAATTTAAAAACATCTTTATAAATGCAAATAGAAAAAAAATGACAACACATCACAACAGATAGGACCCTGTGAACAGTTCAGTCCAAACTAAAGTCCGTCTCACACTGCCTAATAAACACCAAAATCCAATGGTTTTTGGTTCAGTGTTAATCCTGTTGGCGTTTTATCTGGCAGTGCAAACCAGCCTCACGTCATTCTATGACATACTGCTAAAATAGACAATTTTGAAAAATACATCTTTTGGAAGAAATTTCATAGACACACACTCAAAAAAAAAAAAAACAGTATTCTCATGCAGAATGTCACAGGATTCCCCTCACAGTGTTTGTACTGTTCTACCTCCTCAAAAAGCTTCTACGACAGTATCACAGGAGTGAATGTATTCACATACGGTGAGAAATCAATCAACACGTCACACGGTTTTCCAACCGGATTCTACAGTCACATTCATAACGTGTGTCAACGTGTGTGATGACTCGGTATTAAAAATATTAAAGAGGCGGGATGTGTGGAAAATGTTATGGCAACAGAACCATACTGACAAATGTAATAGAAAAGGCACTTCATTCTTCAACGCTCAGTGAAGACTAATAGTGAAGTATGATTACCTATAATTCTCTCCAATTCAATTACAATCTCACAGTTGATCATTTGTCTAAGCAATGGGAATTTTGATCAGTCTAGATTCCTGAGGGAAAGGAGCCAATGGCCCATCATGTTAAAAAGGCCACCACTAGATGGTGGATATGTGCTTCCCTGTCAAAACAATCAACAGATATCAGATTTGAAAACAAAGTTGCATATTTCTAGTAATGCTGCACACTGTGATACTGTCCAGGTCTGAAAGTAAACATGGGCCACTCCTATATGGTGTATAAACATTTCCAAATGATTCAATTACATCAGAGTTGTCAAATATATGATATTGTATGAACACTAACCAAGAAGATTCAGAAAGGTTAGGTCGTATTCAACACTGCACAACACAAAACAGACTCACTCGGTCAATAAGGTGCCGTTTCCTTTGTGACCAAATACACAAAATTTGAATATACAGGTGTGGAGTTATCTGTAACACCTACTGTACCGTTTGAAACATAGTCAATCAACATTGCACATAAGATCATTAGGACACAGTTGAAAGCAAAAAATTAAACATGTTATCACTGTAATTGTCATAGCTGTGCATTTTACTAAGAAAAAAAAAAAAAAAAAAAAAAAAAGAGTTCTGTCAAGACATTGAAAAACAACTGGTAAATGGTTCAGTTTCTGTTTAAAAATGGCACTCACATATTCATAAGACTTTTTACATTCAACGCTACCAGGGATAGTTCACCCAAAAATAAAAAATCTGTCATAATTTACCCACCCTGAAGTTGTTGATAGAGTTTCTATGTATTTTTTTTTTTTTTTTCATACTATGGAAGTCAATGGGGCCCATCAACTGTTTGGTAACCCATATTCTTCAAAATATCATCTTTTGTGTTCAACAGAAGAAAAAAAATACAACTTGAGGGTGGATGACAGAATTTTCATTTTCAGGTGAATTATCCCTTTAAAGAACATTGTATCACTGTTAAACAACAGACTAGTAGTTGGTAAATGTTTGATAACAAAAAACAAACAAACCGAGAGATTGAGAGAAAAGCACAATTAATGTGCCCGTTAAATGTCATCTCTAACATAGAGTACCAGGCTGGATACGCATCGGAATGCCACACGCACGGAATACCCCAAAACGCATCAAAAAAAAAGAAACGACAACAAAAAACACGTAAAGCGTCATCAAAAATATATTCAGTATTCATAAATTATGAATTTTAATCAAATTTAAGTCATTCAAAAATAAAATATTGCATAAATAAAGTGATGCATTAAAGGGATACTCCACCCAAAAATTAAAAATCTGTCATCATCTACTCACCCTCAAGTTGTTGCAAACCTGTATGAGTTTCTTTCTTCTGCTGAACACAAAAGGAAGATATTTTGAAGAACGATTGGAACCAAACATTTGTTTGGCACCATTGACTTCCATAGTAGAAAAAAAAAATACTAATGGAAGTCAATGGTGCCAAAGTTCCAATCGTTCTTCAAAATATCTTGCTTTGTGTTCAGCAGAAGAAAGAAACTCACACAGGTTTGCAACAACTTGAGGGTGAGTAGATGACAGAATTTTCATTTTTGGGTGGAGTATCCCTTTAAGAAAAAACTTTAATAAATGACGATTAATAAGCATTTGTGGAATTAAACAACTTAAAATACAAGAAAAAAATGATTAAAAAAATCAGTGCTTCAAGTAAGCCTGTCTCTACACATGTATGATTTATAAAATCAGATTCATGAAGTGAAGATGGGAGTGTCTAGGCCACTGGACATAACAGAGAATATTCCACTGATCTTTTTAATCAATAAATAATACAAATAACTTTCCATAACTGCCATAAGATAAGAATGCCACCTCTCTGGTCTACAGACAGTTGTTAAAAGAATAGTTCACGCCAAAATGACAATTCTGCCATAATTTTCTCACCCTCATGTTGATCCAAACCTGTACAACTTTCTTTTATTCTATGTTCTACAGAAGAAAATATTTTGAGAAAGTTTCAGTGTTTTTTGTCCATACAATGGAAGTCAATGGTAACCAAAATGGTTTGGATGGTCCAACATTCTTCTATATATCTATTTTTTTGTGTGTGTTCTGCAGAAGAAAGTCATACAGGTTTGGAACAACATCAGGGTGAGTAAATCATTTTGGGGTGGACTATCCCTTTAAGGGCCCTCTCCATTTCAGCCCTGCTGTACCAGCCTGCGATAGTGAGGCATGACCTTGCTGTCCGGGAGGTAGAGTGCCATCTCCAAGGCAACCAGAACCGTGAACTCCAGGGAAATCAACTCTTTGCGATTTATCCGGAAACGCTCCTCCAACCTCTATTCAGAGTAAGCCAGATCAATGGGTAGGGCGAAAGAGAGAGAGAAAGTTACTACATAAATCATAATAAAAGATAATAAAATCCAAATCAGCAAGACACTTACATCAATCAGTTGCTTGACCTCTTGTTTCTTGAGGTCGCTGCTAATCTTGGCAGCTAGTAAAACGCAGGCGGCAGACACCAGCTTTCGGTTATTCTTGTTCAACCTCCCTTGCAGAACCAGCTTCTCAAAGTAAACAAAGGCCATCGCTATGGTAACTGGCTGTAGGCCACACTCCTCGCTCACTGAGCGCATCTCCCTTTTCAAACTGTGGTGCAAATTAAACTTAATTAGAACCAATTTACAACATGGCCATGAAAACAGATTAAATATTAATCACATTTCAAGCTACTTTATTTCATTCACCCTTAAATGTACATAATGTTGTGATAGTGTTGTGTGCTAAATTAAAGACCCGATGAAATGGCTTGACGTGTGCTATTTCTTTCCTGTGTTGACATTTTCCATTACACCTGGTATTAAGATATTAAGAGACACATTCCCGTTCACACCTGGTGTTTTAATCCGTCTCTTTTGTCCACTTTCAACCACTTCTGTCCTGATTCCTTTAAGGGGAGGGTCTATGGGCAGGTAAATGTATGGGCTTTTCCAGATTTTTCGATCTAATGGACGAAATAAGCTTGCGCAATTTACATACGAACGCACACAGAGACATATGGAGAGCATCAGCTTTCGTTTCTGCTATGAAAGCCGCAAGACCAGGCTGAACGCGGTGCGTGTTAGAAATCAGGAATGGTAATAGAAAATTGAAACTTCAAACCAAACTTGGGTCTCCAGTCGACAAAGTTTAAATCCCGTCTGGCTAGGGCGCTTCCCATAATGTTCAGGCGTTAAGTCAGTAGGCAGTCATTTGAGGCTGTTCGAACACATTCAAACACATGAGCGTTTACAGTACACTATGAACACGGTCGAATGTGTTTCCGACTACCTCTGGAAGTGGTTGAAAGTGGACAAGCTCAAAACGTTTTAGACCCCGTTAACACCTGCATTTAGCATCGTCCACTTGTGAACCGATCAACCAACACGCATCCTAAAACCAGGTGTAAACAGGGCCCAAGATGCATAAATATAAAATTTCTGGCCAATAACAAAAAAAAAAAGGTCAATATTAAAATTCTATTCTAATAAATAAAACATTATAAATAAATAAAATCCTTGAAGTTAATTTAGGCATCACAATGTTATAATGTACACTTTGAAAAATGGATATTCATTTTGAGATTTACAAAATGTGTTTTTAAAGGTGAACATAAAATGTGATGGTAAAGCAAATCTAAATGTAGAAATATGAGAAATGAGCATGCACAGTGAAATTTCCAATATCTAATAATGCTAACAGACAAGGACTAAAAGCAACAACTCAGGCCTTCAACCATTTTATTTGGCATAAAAATGACTTTACCTTCTGATTTTGCTTAGTGTTAGCTTTATGTGAGGAAACTTCTCCTTGAACGTCTCATTCATGTCTTTCTTCAAGTCAGACGGTTTCACATACTCTATAACGGTTGTCTGGAGGGGACAAGGTGAATTATTATAGGTGTCAAAAGAATGTATGGCTTTTTATGGCTACTAAAACAATTATGGATGTGAGCATTCAACTTTTACAGCTAAAGCCTAGTCAGCTATTATACATAAGAGTTCATGCTTCATGCCTTTAGCTATGGTTAGACCATATTGAGCCCTAAGGGTTATCATATGACATGCTGATGTGATCTGATATAGGTTAATAAGATGGGTTCAATGATTATGAATCACCAACATGCTGTAGTGCAATTCAAATGTCCTTTCAAAGCCTTTTCATTGGTATCAGATTACTAAATCTGTATTGGTTCAGTTAAGAATCTTACCACATAAGATGCAAAAATTAACACTCGTTTGTGCTTCCCACAAGGCCACTGGGGGTCACTGAGTAAGTTGGGGTCATAGTCTGACAGCTCGTCCACACCTAGCAAGAGTTACAACATTAAACATGTACACATGTATGGACTTTTTTGAAAGAAATTTATACTTTTATTCAGCAAGGTTGCATGAAATTGATACACAAATTTCAACATTGATAAGTGGGCTGAAACGTTGTCAATGTCGACAATAAAAAACATTTTTCGAAAAATATTTTTTGTTGTCGAATAGTCTTTTGATCTAAAGGCCTGCAATAACACGGTTTGAACAGTGGGACGCTGTAATGCAATACAGTAATGCATTGCAGCCTTCCCCCAAGACACGGCGCTTTGAAGTGCAAACTAAGCCGAAGCATTAGAGTGTTTGGCTCTGTTTGGAAAGTTAAACATAACTAAAAAAATAATAATTTGATCATGAAAAAATTTATGAAAAATCATGAAAAAATTTACCCGAGTTGAATATATCAAATCACAAGCTTATGAATAGAAATTGAATCGTGAAAATTGTCAATGCCCAGCCTTAATAAAAACACAGTACCAGTCATTGTAGCAGTTGGACTATTGATGACTTCTGAAGAGGACAGAAAACCTGAAGGAGATTGGTCTATTCAGTTTGCTTGAAGTTCATTAATAAGACATTTTTGGGGAGCATAAGACACTTTCAAAAACTGCATAGAGGCCTTTCTGACCCCAAACTTTTTAACAGTAGTGTAGATAAAAGTCCCCAATGAATAAACATAAAAATGCTATAATTAGCACATAATGTATCTGCACATGTAACTCACCAGTATCTTGTATAACTGTGCTGTTGATTCGGGAAGGGGTGAAGTTCTTCTGCCCGTTGATACGGTTTCGAGACATTGCCGTCTGAGCTGTACTGATGTCAGGTGGGCCACTGCTCTTCTGCCTGACCAAGGCATTAGTTGGGAGCAGAAAACGGGCATATGATACTGTCTGCAACACAAAATTCCAGGGCTATCAGAGTAAACAAACATTTACATTGCGCAAAAATCTCACTGACCCAATACTGCACCTTGCACAATCATGCTTTGAAACAGATATTGATACACCACCAAATAAACAACCAAGGAGGTTTCTAAGCCAAATAATCATGCCTTTTGCTCAATCTTAAAGTAATATATCCCCTCTTACCTTTCCAAAGTCCACCTCCACTCCCTCTAATCCAGGGACTATTTCAACTCCACCACCAGAAGAGTGTCTCTGTCTCTGGGCTTCTAGTTTAGAGTCACTGCAAGGGAAAGATAAATTATTAACAGTCAGAATTTAATAACTTTTCTCTGCACTGAAACAATTTCTTTTATTCCGATATTGAGATAAAGACTCCTCTGTCTCTTATTGCTTTTGCCTGATGCAAAAGACACTAGCGGAGCCTGTTAATATACCAGCAGACTGTTTATAGGCTGGTCTGTTTGTAAAGTCATTCTTCATTTACAAGTTATTACGGTTTCATTATATTAAAGCTTAGAATGATACATCTGTGTTTTTTAAATAAATGCATACTGACAACAAAACAAAAAAAATTCTATGAATGATGTGATTGGCCAGTGTACGACAGGTGGACAAATCACTGTGAACTGGACTGCCAAAAGCAAAATCTAATCACTTCTAAAAATTGTGTTTACCGAATAAAAGGATTCATTTTATAAAAAAATAAAATAAAAAAAATCATACTGACCCCAAACTTTTGAACGGCAGTATAAATTAAAATTATTTTAAAACAGAGCACTTTACACACTCAACACATTTTCTTCCATAAATAAATCATTTAGTCTTTTGTACATCATATTTCATAGTCCAGGCTTTACTTAAAGAAAAAAACAGTTGATTTGTCCATCCCTTGTGGATTTGCATGATATGAATTGAAATGAGTTATTTGGCTGACTGTGGTGGCTCTGTACCTGATGTGATAACTCTCTCCATAGGGCAATACAGAGAAAGCAGCACACAGGGATCTCTTGGCACAGATCAGCACAACCCTGCAGGACACAGATGGCAAGTGCACACAGAACAGACAACATCAGTCACCTAAACCATCCCAGTACACCAGCCATGTTTACACCACACACGTGCATATGGGTCACAACAACATGCAGCACAACGCAAATGGGAGATCAAATGGCACTGGAAATGACATTGGTGACAAAATGAGCCAACAAAAGTCGATCCATTCTTCAACCACCCATCCAGAAATGGTCAATTTAAAGCAGCATGTAGCTTTCTATGTCAAAGTAGATTGGTCAGCATGACCAACTCTGATTACAACAAACTCTGTCACATTTCCCAGGAGGCTGAACGGCATCACACTTAACAGGTCAGCAGCTTGTGACATGGGTTATGTTCAATGAGGTCAAAGGGTCATTATAACATCACTGCTGATGTCATGAGGCTGGGGGTGAATGTGCACATGAGCGAAGGCATGATTTCATGGTTGATGATGTAATGCGACATTAAGCCAGGGGGTAAAACTGTGTATTGCGTAATATACAAGATAATATCAGAAAATAGCACTCCTTTTTCTTTTCTTTTTGAAATTGAATCTCTTTGCACTGTGCGTTTTGTTTTTGTACTATGTTTGTTCTTGCTTTTGTTTTTTTCTTTCTTTAACCTGTGTAAAATGAACCACCAAATAAGGTTGTGTATAAGTCATGTTATGTTATGGTGCAATAAAAAAAGAAAGAAAAGAACACTTTGCTGATGCAGAATACAAAAGTAAATTGGGATTTTGGCACAGTTTACCGGAGGAGAAAAGTAAGTTAGAGGGAGGAAGAAAGAAAAGGAATCAGGGAGGAAGAGCACTTTTGGAAGCATTTATCTTACGCAACTGAGTTTCACTACATTTTAATGTCTCTTGCCAAGGTGTAGTTCTATTTCAGAAGATGCCAGCGATCTATAAGGTTCCATTCAAGATTGATTTAATTTAGCTCGGTTGTTCCCCGTGTAGGCAGACACATCTACCCCCCATTTCTTCTGTCTAAGAACCTAAATGAGTTATACCAGTGAGTACTTATGCCAGTTATTAAGTTAGCGAAGGAATCACAGAGTCTGTCTGAAGCTGCACTGTTTCACTTAGCATGAGAGCACAGAATTATTCAGCCTGAGGAAACAGTCCAGCATCCACTTTTTTATATTCACCCTACATGACTTGAGTCATGGGAATTGAACTCCTCTATCCTAATGATTACATTTTATTAAAAAAATAAAATATGCATTCAACCAAATTAAGTTAACTAAAAAAAAGTTAAGAAGCTGAATTTCAGCAAAATTATAGAAAGTATAGAAAATTAAATAATCAAATATTCATTAAACAAAATTAAGTTAACTTACTAACAAATAAAAGTTAAGAAGCTAAGTTCAGCTAAATATTTCATTGTCCCACCTACAAAATGTATTAAGTAAAATGAATTTGTAATGTATAAGTATTTGACACAATAATGATCATTAAACGGTTAAATTGTCTTTGCAATGTAAGCATCATTAAGTATGTAAATATATTACTATGGTACTATATGCATGTTATTATCAGTCATTTTTTTAACTCTGTCTCTGTCCACCAAGGTCTACTTATGGCGCTTTTCCACTGCATGGAACGGTACGGTTCGGTTCGGTACGGCACGCTTTGGCGCTTTTCCACTGCATGGTACAGTACGGCTCGGTTCGGTACGGCTCACTTATGGCGCATTTCCACTGCATGGTACGGTACGGTACGGCTCACTTATGGCGCATTTCCACTGCATGGTACGGTACGGTACGGCTCGCTTCGGCTCGCTTTAAATGGTACCTGGTCTGTTGAGGTTCCAAGCGTACCGTACCGATACTAAAATGTGACGTGAAAACACTACAGATCACTGATTGGTCAGACAGACAGAATCGTCACTATCAGCGTCATTGTATTTGCGACACGAGCCACTAAACCCACTAGATTTAAATAGCCAGTAGACAACAGCCACCGCTGTAGCACCTGTTTTAAAACTACTTGCTTGACTTGCTTGAAGAAAAAAGAAAGAAAGAAAACTTCCATAAAAAAGAAATGGCTGAATCGTGGTCAGTGGACGAAGTGCAGACGTTCGTCTCGTTGGTTGCCGAGGAGCGGATAAACTATAACGGTCCGACTATAATCCCACCCACTTTGAAGCGGTACTAACTGCAGTGGAAAAGCAAACCGAGCTAAAGCGAGCCGCGCCGTGCAGTGCTGAGCCGAGTCGTACCAAGCAGTGGAAAAGCGAAGCAAGCGAAGCGAGCCGAACCGTGCAGAGCCGAACCGTACTGAGCCGTACCAGCAGTGGAAAAGCGCCATTAGCTTCAAACAGATTCAAGACCCCTGGTCTAGACTGAATATTTTTGTCCAAAAATTTAGTCCTAACCCTAACCATAACGTATCCCTAAAATCAGAGGGAAATGATGTAGAAGCACCTAACTCTGGTTGTAAACCTAAACTTGAGATAAACTGTAAACTTGTCCCTCAAATCTGATTGGTATGTTGTAGTTGTTAATGTACAGACTTAATTTGGGGGGGGGGAAACAAAAAAAACTGTCCTTATGGGGAAAATACTTCCTAAACCATGTCAAACCCGCCAACTCACCTACTCCCTCGAGTATCATATGGTCTCATATTCTTGATGAAGTGAACTTTCTTGGAAACCTTTGGCCCCGGAGACCCAGAAAGGTTACGTGTCCTGCAACAAGAATGTAGATACATACATGCGACTTTAATATAAGCTTAGAGACAAATTGTGATGTATTAAATTGAAGTAAAGGCATAATCTTTTGGCCCTTGACTATAAACTACGGCTTAAAAGGTCGCCCGTCCAGCATCAGTCTATCAGCAGACCTTACATAAAGAGATGAGAGGGTGAGGGGAACAGAACAGGAGAGAGATGAAAGGCAAACAAAGACAACACAGGAAATGATGTGTATATGTACTGCAGTGGGATCATGAGGCTCGGTTTACATAAGCAACATCATCTACCAGCAGATAAAGCTTGTTGCGACTGGTTGATGGCCTTTATGCTATACTTCTCTGACTGACTCAGCAGTCTCCTCTCAGTTATCAACTCTGACAGCAGTGAAATCTTATCACCATAAAAACCTTCCATCCGTCTTATGGGTCTTCCCTAATCTCAGACTGTTATCACAGTTACAGAGGACTTTACTTTTAAAGTCAAATACAAAGACAAGACAGACAACTCACTCATTACACAGAATATAACCATCAAACCTTTATTACTCTTGTAATGATTAATTAATAACTTTTTTCAATACACTTTATATCCGAGACCGAAACATCTTTGTTTAGGTCTTTTAATTTTGCCTAGAGTAGTCCAGATTATGAATGAATGAGTCTTATGAGCCAATTCTTTTAGTAAATCACAAAACATATGGCACAATGTGGCATAACCTGAGTGTTCAGATCCGCAAAAGAATGTGTCTTATGAGCACTTCCTTTTTAGTGAATCATAAAAAATAAAAAAACAGCGTGACTTTCCGAACAAATGACTCTTATTAGTCGGTTTCTATTGTGAATCAAAAACATACATTGCAACTTAAATAGTCTGATTCTGGGATGAATACGTTTAATGAGTCAGTTCTTTTTAGTGGGTCAAAAATATGCAATGCAGAATAGTCTGATTGCCGAACAAATTACTAATTTGAGCTGATTCGCTTTATTGAGTCACTACACTTATCAATCAGTTAAAGGGTAAGTTCACCCCAAAATGAAACTTATCCAATAACTGACTCACCCTCAAGCCAACCTAGGTGTATATGACTTTTTTCTTTCAGCCAAACACAATTGAAGTTATATTAAAAGATATCCTGGCTCTTCCAAGCTTTATAATGGGAGTGAATAGTAGGCTAACTGAGATTTTGAAGGCCAAAAAAATGTGACAAATCCACCATAAAAGTAATCTATACTGCCCCCCAGGAGGTTAATAAAGGCCGTCTGAAGCGAAGCTTTTTTGTAAGACAAATATCCATATTTATTACTTTATAAACTATAATCACTGGCTTCCGGTAACGACCATATGCGAGTAGAGTTCCGCCCGAAGAGTGACCTCTGACCCGACGTATGACATAGGATGTAGGAGTAGCGTAAGCTTAGGTGAGAGCTAGACGCCTCTTGCAGTTTAAACAAATAGGGCTGGGAGACAACTCAAGCTCCTCCGATATTTCTCTTTAAATTTCTCTTTGCTCTATCCTCTGCGCTTCAATACGTAAAGCGTCCAGTCAGAGTTCCCTCTTCGGCCGGAACTAGACTCCGATAATAGTTTATAAAGTAAGCAAAAACGTAGAGGGAGTAAAATCTTTCCGTGGCAGGGACAGCTGCCACCGAGACCTGTCACTCCACCCGTCACCGCTATTGGCAGCTGTCTCTCGACCTGTCACCGCTATGTGCGCCTGCCACTCGACCTGTCACCGTTATGTGCGCCTGCCACTCGACCCGTCACCGCTATATGCGCCTGTCTCTCGACCTGTCACGGCTATACGCGCCTGTCCCGCATTCTGTCACGGCTATACGCGCCTATCCCGCGGGTCGCGTCACGGCAAAATGCGCCTGTCCCGCGATCTGTCACGGCTGTACCCGGCTGTCCCGCGACCTGTCACGGCTATACGCGCCTGTCCCGCGGTCTGTCACGGGTATACGCGCCTGTCCCTTGTTCCGTCACGGCTATACGCGCCTGTCCCACGACCCGTCACGGCTAAATGCGCCTGTCCCGCTTCCTGTCACGGCTATACGCGCCTGTCCCGTTTACTGTCACGGCTATACGCGCCTGTCCCGCGACCTGTCACGGCTATACGCGCCTGTCCCGCGTTCCGTCACGGCTAAATGCACCTGTCCCCCGACCCGTCACCACTATACGCGCCTGTCCCGCGAGCCGTCACGGCTATGGGCCTATCTCTCGACCTGTCACTGCCATACGCGCCTGTCCCGCTTGCCGTCACGGATATATGCGCCTGTCCCGCTACCTGTCACGGCTATACGCGCCTGTCACTCACGGTTAAATAAATCTATGCTATGGGCTAGTTATTGCTATAATTATTAATAATTATTTATATTATTATAATAATTATTATTATTATAGGCTATGTCAAGCCAACCTCACTGCATGCTATCTTAAGGTAAACTTGCACTAATGTTGCACTATGAAAGTGCGTATACCACGAATTTAATTTCTCGTGCCATTTATAAGCCAAAAATAGTTTTTGCGTAGGCCTATATGATACGCAGTATTTGCGTGTATATGATACGCAGTTTTCGCGTGCATATGATACGCACTTTTTGGCGTGTAATACGCACGCACTCCACACCCCAAATCCTACCCAAGAGATTTACAGTGCGTGCGCACTACCTTGGACCATTCAAACGTACAAAATCTGTTTCATGCCCTGTTTCCAAATTATGTTTTTGTAAAGAAGATCCATATTTATGTAAAGATTGTTATTGAAATATTAATTTAAATACATGTTTATATATATTTACAAATATATTTATAAAAATGTATGTAAATAAAATATTTCTTATACGCATGCAAATTTCAATAGGGGACTTTTTTGAAGTTTTATTACAAGAAATTGTAAGTGAAAAACTAATAAACATTCTTTGTATTTATACATATATTGCATTTTTTGCAGCATTTTAGGTTACTGTTATAACTCGGTTGCAAAGCAACTACATCACTGTGTATTTTAGACAAATATGGCCTCTTTAATGCAATATAATAGCCTAACTGTTTATCATTAACATTGATGTTTAAAAAAAAATCTAGCCTAAACATTGTTAGATTTAATGACAAAAAGACACCATAGCCATAGCCGTGCCCGTGACGGGTCGCGGGACAGGCTCGTATAGACCTGACGGGTCGCGGGACAAGCGCATATAGACCTGACGAGTCGCGGGACAGGCTCGTATAGACCTGACGGGTCGAGGGACAGGCTCGTATAGCCGTGACGGGTGGAATGACAGGTGCATTTAGCCGTGACGGCTCGCAGGACAGGCGCGTATAGCCGTGACAGGTCGCGGGACATGCACATAAAGCCGTGACGGGACGCGGGACAGGCTCATATAGACCTGACGGAAAGCGGGACATAGCCGTGACAGTGAGTGGGACAGGCGCATATAGCGGTGACGGGTCGCAGTACAGGCGTGTATATCCATGACAGGGCGCGGGAAAGGCGCATGTAGCGGTGACGGAAGGCGGGACAGGCGCATATAGCGGTGACGGAAGGCGGGACTGGCGTGTATAGCCGTGACAGAACGCGGGACAGGCGCATATAACGGTGACGGACGCCGGGACGGGCGTGCATACCCGTGACTGGTCGCGGGACAGGCGCATATAGCGGTGACGGTGTGCAGGACAGGCGCATATAGCGGTGACGGGTCGAGTGACAGGCGCACATAGCGGTGACGGGTGGAGTGACAGCTGCCAATAGCGGTGACGGGTGGAGTGACAGGTCTCGGTGGCAGCTGTCCCTGCCACGGAAAGATTTTACCCTTACTGCAAAAACGTCTTACAAAAACGCATCACTTTGCTTCAAAAGGCCTTTATTTAACCACCTGGAGCCGTATAGATTTTTTTTTTTTATGATTTATTGATGCGCTTTTTTTTTATGATGTATTGATGACACGAAAAATTGTGTTTGGCTGAAAAAAAAAAGTGTCATATAGACTCACTTTATGAACAGAAAGTTATTACTTTCCTCATGTCCGACTCGAATTAAACCGAGAATTGATTTTGTTATGTCAAAATGCAAATCAAAAATAGTTGATTTTCAAAATGTAGTTACAGATAAACATTATGGGTTTTGTTGTAATAAATGGTCATTTGTATTTATATAAATTATATTAGAAAATGCTATTGCGGAGAATTTTTATTTAATATAAAAGTTAGAACCAATATTTCGATTGCCTCACTAGTTGAATTTGTATTTCTTTAAAGTACTAAAAGAACCGGAACTAGAAATCCTTACGATTCCCAACCACTGATCTATATAAAATGACCAGTGTTCCCAACCTGTTCATTTTAGCAGGTCTCAAAAATGTCGCAGAAATATTTCCTGTCAAACTTCTGCCTAGAAAACAAGGCATCAAAGATGAAAATGAAAGTTAAACAATAAGGCGGAAGTCAGTCATTCAACGGAATATATTCGTTTTTTGTTTGGTTTTTCTCGTACTGTAATGTGCACTGTTTATAATACGTAACTGCTTCAAAAGTCACAAACGAATTTAAACACTGGTAAACAACAGGCCAGATGCAGTTTTGACTATCCAAAAGCGTGCTAAGATTTGGAAATAAACATAGCTTTCATAAACAAATATATATATATATATATATATATATATATATATATATATATATATATATATATATATATATATATATATATATATATATATATTCAGAATTGTTTAGGACAGCTGTAGAAAAGGTTACATCACACATTTACTCCACATTTGTTTGAATGGTGTAATTTATGCATACAAACCCAGCCAGAGAAAAAACGTCAATAACGCGTGTCATTGTTTGCCAAACTGCGTGCAAAAACAAAGCTCACCTTTGACGGGGATCAGGCACAGGGTTGGAGCCCGGGAATTGGCTGGGTGGTTTACTTGATCCTAAAACCGGATTCAGCGGTCCAGAGGTCGGTGAAAGAGGGGGTGCCTGGACTGACAAAGGATCTGCTCGTCCATCCTCAGTAAAAACGTCGCTGCTCCCTTGGTTTAATGCTGGAGGGGGGCTCAGAGGAGCAGGGTATGTGTTTGGTATAGGGGTCGCAGTTCCTCCGCTGATGGAGGATGTCACTTGTGTGAAGGTTCCGTAGCTGCTGGATGTCGACAGAGGGGGACCCGTCACCGACGACGACACACCGACATCTACACACCGGCTCTCGGCTTCCCTGGGGCCAACGATTCCATTGCTTAGGTTGTAAACCGGTCGCCCGTCCAAGGATATATTGGTGAGAAACAATAGTGCTGCTTGTCTGCGACGGGAATCCCGGGTTTTTCGCAGGTGTTCTTTGTGTGGTTTGGCTGAATTAGTCCTCGGACAGACGCGAGGACCGCAGGCAGCGGCCGCCATTCTACTGTGAGTAAGCTAAAAGCAGACAGAGCTCTTAGGGTGGCTGAGGGATTGGCCACGCCCCCTGACACCTTATTGGTTCAAATTCCTGACACTTGCATATAAATCAGACGTTGTCTCAGCGGATTGGACGAGAAGTCTTAGTTCATAAATTTGTACAATAGCTTGGCTTCAAATGTACAGTAAGGGCGCTAGCCCTTTCTCCAAATGTACAGGAGGACACAGACATCTGTTCCTTTCTTTGACACAAAGAAATATTTTTAATGACAGTGACACGTTTAGTCATTTATATTTGTATATTACATATAATTAAATGTGTATCTCTAAAAATAAGCATTAAGTAGTATTCACCCTGTATTCACCCTATATTTTATTACTAGTGAATATGAATGTCCATTTATGCAATTTCTAGTTGTATTCACACTGTGATGTTTGACTAACACTGCTAATACTTCTGCTCCACATGATGCTGTAAAAATCAATGAACATGCAGGTTAGCATAAGCCTGTCTAAGCTCTAAGTTTTAGCACAGCTCATCACAATGGTTGGCTTATATGTACAGTTATTCTGTTATGTAAATATGCAGTGTGGCGTCTAAAACAGCTCATGCGATAATAAAAGAGGATACAGAAAAGGAGGGGGAAAAGTAATTTCTGGATTCTTCAGTTTGATAAAAAGAGCCAAAATGAGAAGTTCTTGATAGCCTTGCAATAATATTACTATTAATAAAGAATTACATTTATGTTATTTAAATACATATCCAAATGCATAAAAGGCAATGGTTTGAGAATACAAATATGGCTGAAAGCATTACTGTTGCGATACATATAATTCCACATTATGTCATGTAATAAGGCTTGAGCAAATATTTCATAATCTACTGGTCCACTGTTAGTATGGGAATTAATCCGACCCATAGTCAGTCTGCTCAAAATACTTTCTGGAATTTTGTTTTATTTTATTATCAGACCAATTAAATTCATTTCCTCTGAATTTGACAGTGGATCTACAGTTTAACAAAAAAGTGAAAAGGAATAGTTTTGAATGACATCTCTACACTGTAAACCCTAATGCTCAAAATAATTAATTGGTTTGAGTAGGACAAACTTAAATTAAACAAATTAGTTCAGTCAAATTAACTTTTATGAGTATTTAGCACTTTCTTTTTCTTTCAAGTTCACTGAACTGATATATTTTAAGTAAACTGAACTGTTTCATTGTTTTGAGTTTTATGAAATTATTTATTTTAATTTAGACGAACTTAAGTTTAACTGAAACAGCCGTGATGTCTATTTCCCAGCATGCTTTGCCAATGGGACTCGAAAGGGAGAGTAAATGCTAAAATTAAGTGTAATATAATGTTTTTTTGTGTGTAAGATTAATGTTATGTGTGAGATTTAGTAGTGATTCATGTTTTGTTATGCTAATTTAGAAGAATTTCTGTTAATGTTGGCTTTAGGATAGTTACCATCATGGTGACAAGTGGTGCATGCAGCTTGATTTGAGAGCAAATAATCCATTTATATTGCTGTGCTCATACAGCAAGTGTTTCTGTATAACATACTATTGCTAATATGTTAGCATTTACTATGTTAGCAGATTAGCTTTTTAAAGCTAACTAAGTTTAATAAAAGTATTTTGAGTTCTGCCAACTTTTTTGGGTTTACAGTGTACTTCATAGATTTAGGTTATATTAACTGAATGGAATTAGTACTATTAACTTTATTTACCCAAGTTATCTTAACAATAAGTTATTGAGTTACTTGAACACAAATCAAATATTTTTTTAAGCTTAAATTGTTTGAGTTAATAAACTTAAATGATTTAAGGCAATCGGTTTCCTCAAACGGTTTGAGTTGAACTAACTCATCAGGTTTTACAGTGTAGATTATGCCCATTGCTTTGAGATAATGTATTGCATAATATAGTGTTATGGAAGTTGATTTAGTGCCTGTGGTGTGAATAAAAGGTATGTGTATCGCTGTTTTTAAAATGCCTAATTTTCTTATTTGTAAGTTTGTTGTAGTTAAAACGCCTTCCAAGTGACAGTAAAAACTATCTATGTGATGTGAATGTTTTGATTTTCCTCATTGCTATTCAGCTGGTTTCCACTTGAGTGCAGTATATATCAAATCAACATCATTGGCTGTGTGACTAATAGTGGCTTTACTCATTTTTGGAATGAGTGCTTGAATGAAAAACACAAAACAAATTGTGTGATGCTACAATATCTTAGTTTTCATTTAAATGGATAGTTCACCCAAAAATGAAAATTCTGTCAGTAATTCCTCACCCTCATGTTGTTCTAACCCTGTAAGACTTTCGTTCATCTTCGGAACACAAATTAAGATATTTTTGATGAAATCTGAGAGCTGTCTCACTCCTCCATACTTCTAGGTAATTGTATTCTTCCGGCCCAGAAAAGTTAGTAAAGACATCGTTAAAATAGTCCAAGTGACAGTGGCTCAACCTTAAGTTTATCAAGCGACGAGAATACTTTTTGTGCGCAAAAAATCCCTAAACTTTATTCAACTATTAATTTTCCTCTGAGTGAGTTCACAAGAGCGCTCGAGATTCTCGTCGCTTGATGATCTTAAGGTTGAGCCACTGTCACTTGGACTATTTTAACGATGTCTTTACTAACTTTTCTGGGCCGGCAGAATACAATTAGAAGCCTATGAAGGAGTGAGACAGCTCTCAGATTTCATCAAAAATATCTTAATTTGTGTTCCGAAGATGAACGAAAGCCTTACGGGGTTGGAACAACATGAGGGTGAGGAATTACTGACAGAATTTTCATTTTTGGGTGAACTAACCCTTTATCTTAAAATGACAAGCAAAACAAAAGACACTCTTTCAGGTGATGCTTTGGTCAGGTCAGTAAACACAATTTTGCTTGCTTTATTTTCCAAATAAAACACATGGCTGAAAATCGACATCCTTTTTTACAGTCGACAGCAACAGTCTTTCAGGTGCAGTGTAAGGCTTGACGTCTTTCAGCGTGTCTACGGTAAAATCCAGCATTAACCAGAGTGAACGAGTATGATCCACATTGATAAAGGACAGCATACAGAGGCTGTGCTGAAGTGTTCCAGCTAGCACCAAAATGGTAACACAAATGGACATAGTGTACGTAATGGTTATGCCAAGATGTGAAATAGTTACAATGGACTTACTGTAGCAATAACATGATATCAGTGTAAACGACACAAACACATGGATTATTCATCTTCTCTCTATTCAAAAGCCCAGTGGTCAATCAATGCAAAAAACTATGTTTTGTACAGATTCACTGATCTATGTATTGATGACCAAATGTAAGAAACAACCACAGAAAAGTTAACAACTTAATTTAAATGTTAAATAAAATTAGATAAAGAGACGGATACTGCATGGATTTGTTCATAGGCATACAACATTTTCAAATTCACTATTCAAACATTTATGAGTATTATTGCACCAAATTATGTAAATGACATGGAATGGCATAATCATAACGCTGATAACATTTCCATATTTCCATAAAAAGAACAATTTTGAAACATATGCTATATGCTTTTCTTTAACTGTCATATAATAGGTACTTTAAAATTTGAAATCTTTGTTAGCTTAGATGTGTTTGAAATACTGCGGTATTACCATATGTTCATATTACAGTAAACCAGCTCGATCAGGGTTCTTTAGCCTTGAAATTAACATTCATTCAATCCTTTTTAAAGGTGCACTCAGCCATTTTTCAGGATCAGACCAATTATTTCCATCATGACAGATATGTCCTTTGAGAACATTAAAAAAAAAATCAGTGATATATAATTTTTCACTTGCAAAGTAAGCAGAAATGTCCACTGAAAAGAGACTTTGATAATTGTGAAAAAAACAGTCTTTGTTGCAAGCAAAGTATGATCCCTGTTCTTGAAGGCAACAATTTTGTGCTTAATAAAAATCCTCATGATGTTATCAGAAGCTCAACCCTTCCATCTTTCTTTAAAGACTCAAAATGTTTTCATAAATCCACCAATGTTTTAAACATTAGCTGCTGAAGAAGGGTGAAATGCACTTTTTAGATGCTGAATAGCCAAACGTAAGAAAGTCGATTAAGGCCTTTAATGAGAAAACTCACTAGTTGTACTTGTACCTATTACAACCTCAATAGCCAACAAACTGTGACCAAGTGGATTCAGTAATTGTGGTTTACAGCAGCTGCCACAAGATATTTAAAAACACCCAGAATTGTTTGAAACTGTGTTTAGGATGTGTTTAAGCACCATTGCTGTTAATGTACCACACTGATATGTTGTTTTATTCATGATACATTTATCGTGGCCTCACTACTTTTTCATAAACTTGCTCGAAATGGACCCCAGCCAAGCCTCCTAACCCAATAACCTGTGGTAATGTCTAATGTCACCACAGGGTGGCTCTTTTCTAGAAGCTAGTGCATTATGTTCCTCCTCAGACGACGAGTTCATGTGGAGATCTGACAAAATCCACCAAATAAAGCTGGAGAGAACTGACTTTTTTTTGCACGCTAATACATTACATCTTTTTAGAAGGTAAGAACGTTTCAGACTGTCGTCTCATATTCCATCACTTCCTTGGGTGTGCCTAGACATCGGTACTGGATCCTCGGTGTGACCGGAGCAGCACCTTCCAGGACCAAAATGGTTTTTCGTAGCCTGCGGTCAATGAAGTGGGCGTCCCAGGCAGGGTACTGCTTTCTGGGAAGGTCGATACGAACTACCGGCCCCTCTGTCCTTGGGGTGAGGCGAGGCGCGGCGGTTCGTGAGGCCTTAAGGGTCCGCATCTTAAACACATCGCCAATGTCTTCTCTCTGTACTGACTCTCCTCCTTTAGTCCTCTGCAGAGTCCTCGGCGGGCTGCTCACCGCGTCCAGAGGAGGAACGGAGGTGGGCGACGAGATGCAAGGATCTGAAACAGCCCCCACCTGGACGCCACAACATCCGAAATAGGCTCCAGACACAGGGCCGTCAGGGTGCAACAGGCAGTAGTAGACAAACATAAAAAATGTGCCCAGAGCGTAGCTACAGGCCACCACACACACCACCACCACAGCGTAAAAGTCCGAAGTGCGCGGGCTGCGGTATATGTACCACACGGCAGTGAGGGCCACGTTTTCGCCCAGCACTATGAGGCTGTAGAGCAGAAGCCGGCACCGAGTTGGGCCTTCACGGACGCTGAACCAGCAGAATATGTACACGATGCCCACCATCATGTTGTAGATGATTTCCTCCCACTTGGACATGCAGAAGTCCGTCTCACCTTGGATGATCCAGAAGGTCATGGCGCACCAGTGGGCTACGATGAAAATGCCGAAGTAGAGCTGGAAGATGGAAACGAAGAGGGCGAAGGCCATGGCGCGGGCTCCCACTGTGAACAGGTGCCACAGCATGTGCGCCACCACTGATTTATATGACATGGGAAGCTTGTCGTCACGAGAGTCCCGCAATGCCTTCTGATAAGACGCCATCATCCAGCCCAGAGACACCAGAGAGGCTGACGCAGACAGACCTGGATCAAATGAAGCACAACGAGAGAGAAAATGGAAAGAAATGAGTCAATTAATGAGGTACATTAATTAAAATCAATTACACTGCCAGAAAATAGTAAGCATTGGATTGTTGGATAGGTAGATGGTGTTTGCAGTGTATTAGGATAGTTCACCTTAAAAATGAAAATTATTTATATGTCAAAAATTGTCGCATCATTTCTCTTTTTATTTATCCTAAGGAATTTTAGAAGATGCGTCAGTGACAAAGCCGATACTTGAGCAGTAAAATTCAAATTAATTTCAACTCAAAACCTACACCAATGTATAAAATGAGTCTGTATATGAGGAATGACAGTACACCCCACCATTATTCTCAGAAAAAAATGAAATTCTGTTGAGTGCTGTACGCTCTCTAGAAGCTCTCATGAATATTTAATCAGGTTCCTGTCTGGCCATTCATCAGCTCACCCGTTTAGTCAGGAGCAGTCAAAACGGAAAATCTCTCCTAATCAGCAAAAACATAATCATTAGCTAGTTCTCCAGCCGTCTCGCATTGCATCGAATATGATTATGAGCGATTATGACAGACCCAGCAAGGCACCTAAATCATAATATCAGTCTGGAAAAGTGCAGGTCAGGACAGACCAAGATGAAACGCTCACACCGCTGACTGTAAGGTGGAAGAGTGCCCTGGTCATCTCCTCAGAACTGGATATGCTCACATATTGGCTCTCCTCTGGGTCATTTTTATCCTTCTGGAAAAAGATGCCTTCAGCAGCCTGAATAAATGTAATATGAGCAGGGCTGACAGATTTTCATACTGCACCTCTCTAACTTTTATTCACAGAGGCATAGAAAGAAAGAAGATCACATCAAATGATAGCTTTTAAACAAAAATGACATCCTGTAGTTAACTAGCTCTGGGCTTTCTTTAAAAGTTACCGTTTGTGCTTTGACATTTGGATAAAATTCCGCAGGGAATATCTGACTGGCTACAATTGTTTGGATGGAGCTGAACCAATACAACAGCGAGCTCTCGCAGCCCTGTAATCAAAGGCACCTGTCAGGTGGGTTTATAGTGTCCTTTTCCATCCCTACAGAGCCAAAGATAGACTGGAGCAATGAAACTACAATTAGATTATTTTAATATGTCACCATTACTGTATGATGACGCTGGTGTGAACATCTAATGAGGTAATATTCTAAATGATCATTTGATTACTGTCATTTTCATGTTAAATTATATATCTCTTTAATATTATTCATTGCAAATTTGGAGTGTGCTCTTCCAGGGGACAATGAAACAAATTGTGTCTTAACTGCTGCTGGATAGTTTAATCATTAATGAAACCACTTAAAGATTCATCTGATAAAATGGTCAGTCTCATGCACAATGACCTGCAATATTCATAACCCATTGTCTTCCATATTCAGTGACACTTATCACATCCTCAGTAATTTGCCAGCTCATTTGCAGTTGGATCGAAAATGAGATACTATGCAAACGCATGCTGTGAAATTGCACTTTAATCCTTAATGATGGCCAAATTAATTTCTAGAAACAATAATCTGTCACATTTAAATTAGATGCCACGCAGAAATTTATGCAAATTCTGAGAGTAAAGGCACATAGGTTTTTTCATCAATATTCCTGGAGAAGTGGAGTTAAGGCTTTTGAAGAAGAGTTAATCTATGGATTTGAAAGTTTGTGGAATCAAAGATATTTAATATCTTTTAAAGAAAGATATTTCAAAACAGAAGTGTATATACTTTGATTTCTGAGTCACAAGTGTTACAAAAATCTATTTCACATAAATGCTGTTCTTTTTATCTACTAATTATCTAGAATTCTAAAAAAAAAAAAGGATCACAGTTTTCACAAATATATTAAGCAGCTCAACTGTTTTTCAACAATTGATAATAATCAGAAATGTTTCTTGAGCACCAAATCAGCCTATTAGAATGTTGTAATGATGCTGAAAATACAGCTTTACCATTACAGGAATAAATTACATTTATAAATATATTCAAATAGAAAACAGTTATTTGAAATTGTAATACAATTTCACAATATTACTGTTTTTACTGTATTTTTAATCAAATAAATGCAGCCGTGGTAAATTCTTCTTTCTTTCTTCTTAATTCGGTAGTGTACACAGTATATGTCTGAAAAATGTTAAAATAAGTACTTCTAAATATTGAGCTGGTATAAATTCTGAATCTCAATATACTGCCATGCCATTATTTGAATGATTTTTGCTTCCACGATGGTCTATCATTGCGGTATAATTTATATTAGATAGCCTTGCCCATAAACAGCACCTATAGGAAGTTCATAATTTGCAATTTGGGGCAGACTTTCTGTCATAGTCAAATGTCTAGCTATACTCGAGACTACTGATGAAATATGAATATAATGAATATGCCCCAGACAAATAGCGCAAGCCCAACTATTTCTAGCATACTTGGAATGAAGCGGTTTTAATCATAGCTGTCATCAACTTACCCTGCAAAGGGAGGACCTGGCCGGTCTGGACCATAATGCTGAGTTGCAGAACGAGCTGAGGTGCGCTCTTCAGGAAGGTTTCCAGCAACCTCAGCATGCTGATGTCAGCGTTCTCGAACATCGTACGCCAGTAGAAGTGTTTGTGCTCGTGGTCCCCGCGCCAGCGGCTTTGCACACCCAGATATAAGGCATGGACATACCTGGGGTAAAAAACATAGGATAAGACCTCTAGATCATTTCTGAACAGATCACCAAAAATTGTATCAGAAAATATTGATTATTTTAAAGGGCCTCTTTTATGTTTTATTTTATTTTACTTTACCTTTCCTTCCCAGCAATCAATGGCCATCATTTCACCATCCAAAATAACCTTGAATTTGGTTACATGCATGTCATTTTTGCTAAAATAACTTGAGAGATGAGATAAAGTAAACAGTGATTACAAGGTGTTTGGTTTCATTTCTTCACTCATTTCATTTCTTTGTTATCTAATTGATGACTATTCTTGGGCTATGGTTTAGACGTCTATTAAATTTTGTCTTGTTTTGTTCTTGTTTTGTGTTTGGATGGCTATTGGACGTCTTTTAAACGCAAAATTGCTTGCTGGGTTTAGTGTGTAATATAGCTGTTTGTGCATGTAAACAATCAGCAAAGTTAAAAAGCACAAAGTCCATGCCAAAAGTCCGATCATATAAATATACTTGACTTACAGCCATTGTCCACAAGACTATATGTTTCAGAAGGGTGCTGGAAAGAGTTTACTTCACAAAAGTGTGGAAGGTTGTGAGGGTTTAGGGCTCCATCTGGGACAGGGCCATGTGTTTTTCAGCGCGAGGGCGGGACAACTTGTCACTCACATGAGATCACAGCAATAGCAAACCACAATAATTTAACCATGCAATCAGTTCCCGACTGTCAAAATCTCGTTGTATATTTTTTCTTGTTTAAGAAGACATTTACGTCACAATAGAGAAGAAAAATCGATCGCAACTTCCATTTCATACCGACTTTAAAAAAAGCTTTTAGGCCAAACGAGTGAAAAGAAGTGCTGCAGCAATGTACAGTATGTACTTTTTTTTCTTTTTTTTTACTTTAAATCATGTAAATCAATTCTAGAATAAAATTATAAAATTATGGACTTGTAAATGGGCACTTCCAACCATTTGGAAACTGTTAATTCCATTGTTACCTCGATGCCAGTCTGCAGACTTTGAAAAGAACTGGAGTCTGCCTATAATGTGACTGCAACCAGCTGATAAAGGCAGTACACTTGTCTGGGCAGACTGCCAGTGCACTATAGAGTGCTCCAGCATGTCATTTTCTGTCCTCAGCACCACGGTCTACACAGGCTGTTGCGAGACACCAAGTTCGCTCTTCAGATTACACAGATGTCAGAGAGCATGTTTTCACGGGAGGGATCACTGTCTCTTATATTCGTACCTTCAAATTTCCTGATTTACGACCCCAGAACTCCAGTGTTTCTCCTGTGAGATGAACATAAGTGTCAGAGGAAGCATTCCTCTACGAAAGAGAGCGCCTTTTGGGAGATATGAAGCAAAAACTGCAGCAGTGCGTTTCGAAACATATTTATGCGAGCCCCTTGAAAAATCTGCCTTTCACTGGACTTAATTTGTTTCTTTTGACAGGAAGTGCCATGATATTTCAGTCTGTCTCAAGGGTAGCGAGAGTAATAGGAGTGTTCGCAGGATGTCAGGAGATTGGCAGAATGAATCACCCTGACTTGATGAGGTCTATAAAATTGCTCCACATCCTTCACACAACTTGTTGTGCGAAGGGGAAAAAAAAGCCTCTAAAAGAAAAATCAAGCAATAGAGAGCCTGGGAGAATGGCTGTCAGCGAGCGAGTCTCAAATTTGACAAGAAACACAGTCTTTCTTTTTCTGAATAAAGGGTGTGTTTTCAATGACACAGAAAAGCTCTCTTCGCTTGTAAAATTCAGCCCTTTGATTCCCTGAAAATTCGCCACACCATCAGACAAAATCAAACCTTGAACCTTAACTATGCAACTGTTTTTTTTTTTTTTTTCAAAAGGTTAACAAACAGGCTGAGAAAGAAAACATCTCACAAACAGCCACCATTGGCTAGCAATGCATCAGTATCCATGGTGACGACTGACAAACATTGCAGCTGACAAGCTTGGCCCATTACTTAACTTAACATAACCTAATTTGAGACAATCATCTGTTAGGTCTGCGTTTCGCATAAAGACTCGGCATGTCTTCCTCTGAAAAGGACTTTCTATTAGAAAAGCCACCCTGATTATGTTGCTGTCCACTTGCCATTAAACTACTTTTGAATTCAACAATATTCAGAACAGCCAACTTACCTACTCGGTTACTCAGATGGCACAGCTAGCCAATCGGCCCTCAGCTATTAACTGCCAGGGTTCCAGTAAGTCAGTTAAATACTGGATTTAACCCCCCCTCCCCCCTGCTAAATTTTGAGAATGGCAGCAGAAAGAAAGAGAGAAAGAAAGAAAGAAAAAAGAAAGAGGGAAACAAAAGAAAATCAATGTTGAATGTTCTATATCAGATTTCCAGCTGGCTAGAATCAGACTGTCATTATTTTTATTGAATAGTAAAGCCCGGCTGCTGAGGTGGTTATAAGACACTGGATCATGTCATCATGCAACAGAATTAGGAAGATGGAAGTGCTTTCTAGCCTATTTCCTGTTGTCATATACAGGACATTTCTTTATTTATTTGCTATGATTTTTTGTAATCTTTTTCTTTGCCCCTCCAGACCCTTGTGAAATTTTAATCATAAATAAACTACGATTTTCAGGTACAGTATGTTTATTATACATGTATTTAACATCTTTTGTTGTTTGATCAACATTAATGACAGACAGCCAGGTATTTTAGGCTGCTATCACTTTAAGACCAAAATGCTTGGATCTAGGTACTGACACATAATACTGTTTTCACCGGGCTGTTTATGTTCACTTAAAGCCAACCGACTGTATTTATCATGCTAGATAGGCTAGCCTACTCCACATGATGGGCATTTTGACAACTGTCTATATTGGACCATTCAGGCGGGAACTGGATTCGGGATCGCGCACTATCTGAGAGAGCTTCTAGCGCGTGTCATTCAGCACGATATAATAATTGAGTTATTTTTTCACAACTTACTGTTCATAACAATTTGATAATTTTTTTTAAAGATCCTCGTTGAATGTTCACACAAGCTTCTTTGACATCTTCGCGTCTGAATTGATCTCCGCTCTCTCTCATATCCCGCCTTCACTAACTGCAAGTTAATCAATAACGAATTGTGATTGGTTGGTAATCTAATGACTGGTTTTACATTTATTCAGGCTGCTGAGGCTACCTTTGATTAGGCTACTCTCGCGTGACAGAAGATTCGCTTTATGAGCTTAGCAAAGACAATTTAGGAAAGAAATACGGGACAAAACATGATTTTTTCAGAATAAGTCGGGACACTAAAAATAGAGCTGAAATACGGTACGTCTGGTCACCCGGCCTAGACCAACTACAAGCCAGAGAGAAAGCAAAAGACCACTACCTGCATCATCCCTTTAACTAATGTGTAATAGGCCTATCCGTATAGTTTAAACATTAGCCTACAAACATATTCAATAACTGAATCATTTAATGTATTCAATGTATAACTATGCAAGTCATATTTAATAGGCTATATAAAAAATATGACAGAAAATAAAGGCAAGACCTCTGCTGATCAATGGTTGAAGGCTCTGTCATCTCCAGAAAATGTTTTTATGTTGAGTACAAAAAAAGCAGTTCAGACACAACCCTTCATATCAGACATACCTTCAAACAAGCACAAACCTAAATCACACTAAAACACACACTGCCTACAGCTTACTGCAGTTTATCAAACATAACCACAGTTTAAGTTTTATTAGGTTCCTTTTCTCGTCACATTTAATCCCAGTGCACCCTCTCTCAGGAATATGTCTCAAATAGGCATTACGCTGCTTGGCCAACAGCAACAGATATCCCCTGGCTATCTCTGCTCTTGAATGTGTCCTCCTCAGTCCTCCTTGGCGGGGGTTTTACTTTGATATCCAGGGGGTGAATTAATCATGCAGGGCTTGCAAATTTTCTCATTGTCACAGATGAAACTGTTTAAAGAATTGGTGTTTTTAGCCTTCCTTCTTGCTGCCTCACTTACACTTTTCTTCTGTTTGAGTCCCAGCCGAAAAATGTCTCATGGATTTTTAGATCTTTTGAAAGAGAACAAGAATTTGAAGCACACTCTTGGAATGCTCAATAGGACACCACATCTGAAGACAGAAAATCTTCCACTGATGGAGCGATTCATTCAGTGTGTGCAATAATAATAATCAACCCCCCTGCCAGAAAGGATCCTGTCCAAACAGTATGTTGACTCATGTTAGTAATAAAGAAATTTAACAGTAACTATTAAATAGTGTGAAGAATTGGGGCATGGCCTAATGGTTTGAGAGTCGGAGGGCAGGAACGTACTGGCAGGAAATGACTGAGGTGACCTTGAGCAAGGCACCTAACAACCCAAACGCTCCCCGGGCGCCAAAAGTGAATGGCTGCTCACTGCTCCGGGTGTGTGTCTATGTTTCGCAGTGTGTGTTCAGTACTCACTGCTCCTAAAGTGTGTGCACTAACTTATAGGTTAAAAGCAGAGGACAAATTCCAAGTATGGGTTACCATACTTGGCCTTCACGTCACTTCACTTCCCTTCACTTTAAATTAAATTATTCAACTTAATTTAAATCTCGATATTGATTCTTAAAATTCCAAGATCAAACTTAACGTACGTTTACAAGACAACAATATACTAATCAACGAAACAGTTCATCTTTTGCTTTTTTTACGTACAGACGACACCATTGTCAAAATGATCCCCGTTCACATGGATCCGTGAAAACAACTAAAAATGATGTATTATGTTTTTAGGCCAGTAGTTGGTGACGTCACTTTGTAAAGAAACACTACGCTCCTATAGACTGAACACGTAATACGCATGTGCATGACGACACCGTTTTCACAAATTCGCGTTTTTGTAGTTTAAAACAAAACAATAATGGAATCATTTTCAAGAACTTGCACTTGAATCTCGTTTTCAGGCCTCCAAAACGCTGTTGCTGTGTAAATGAACAGCCAAACCACATAAAAAAAAAATTCAGTTTTTAGTTGAAACTGCCTTTTAGGGGTCTGTAGGTGCGTAGTGTCGTGTAAACCCTTATTGTCCTTGTGTTTGCAGTCCTGTGCCAATTCGTTGTCGGACATTCCTTGTGTCCTGATCCCTGAAGCCATGTCTTGTCCTGCTACCAAGTCCAAGTCAAGTTGACCGGTCCTGTTTCCCTCACGGGGTAGTTTTTTTATTATTATTTTTTATAACAAATAAAAACCCATTTCTCGGCATCTTTGAGTCCTCACCTCATCCTTCACCCCAACCTTGACGGATCTTTGCCTAATAACAAAGTGCAAAGTCAACAAATGACTATTGTGTTCCTTTTTTATTAGTGAGCCAATAACATACAGTACAGCGTATGTAGTCCCATTCACGAATAGATGACTATTAAAAGCCTATTCGTTTTAGTGAACCAAATACAGCAGAAGCAGTATAGTCCGATTCACAAATAAATTACTCTTACGAGATGGTTCTTTTAATGAATCATTCAGGAAGATGCCAGTGAATCAGTGCTTAACTGAATGAACATGTATCCATTAGAGCGTCAATATCATCAAGTTATCATTACTTTCAGTATCATTACTTTTCACCAATTATGCTAATACAATTTAGAGATTTTCTTAAATATTTAATATTTCGTTGTTGAAAATAAATGTTCATGTTTTATGTTTTAATAAAAACAGTCAAGATATTTATTAAATTGATTATATGAAACTCGTTCATTTTTAGGTTCAGCAAACACTTCTGAAAAGTCATTTATGTCAGCACAGCCTGTGTAAAGGTGTCTTTTCTTCTCCAATGGTGGTGACTGATCCTGATTGATCCTGCTCATCTAATGCTGCAGGGAACATGGAATCGAAAACCGTCTTTGAACGTGTTCAGTGAACCAGGTCAGAGTACTCAGAGGGGACCATCAAATAGGGCACACTTTTTTACACAACGCTCAGAAAATGTGAGAGACAGAGAGAAAATGTATATTTTATTGCACATCATTTAGTCTTATCATTATTTTATTTCTGATGTAATTACAAGCCATGAGGAGAAATTGCTTTATAATGGCTAATCTTCATATCAAGTTTTCTCATATTCTCTCCCTCTCAATCATTCTCTCAAAGATGCACCTCTATTTTTACATCTACTCTCCACCTATAACTCCTCATCCGTTCTTTCTTTGCAACAGTACACCACTCTCTCCCTCTCTGGCTGTCTTCTGCAGGTAAGGACATGTAAACACTACAGCTATAATCCCTGTAATGCAGAGATGTGACAAGCTCAGCGCTGGTGGCAGCTTTAATGGCATTACTGCTAATTCCAATCAAACAAAGACAGAGCCTGGAAAGCTCCGCTCGGGAAGCTTTTAAGCAAAGACTCAGTCAGAGAGTATTGGTGAAAGGTGAAGAACAGAAAGAAATCCATGTGGGTTTATTGCAGGTCAAACAGAGGTAACGTGAAAATGGCAAAATGTACTTCTTAAAAGGTGCTATTCTTAGCAATACTGATAGAAAGCGACAAAAAGAGAGCTGAAGATATTTCATTAGACATCAGCTTGCAGTGCCAATGATGTTTTTCTTTCTGAAAATATTTTGAATGAATTATACATTAATGGGAATGTAGCTCAGAAAGGCTAAAATTCTCAAGGCTAATTAGTGAATAATGGGATAATGGTTCGTTTTATTCAAATGAGGTGAAAATTATTTGCTGGCTGGCTGACTGGCTTGTTTTGAATTACAAATATCCACATTCTCTTTCTGAAAACTGTTTATTATGGTAAATATGCTATCAGAAAAAAGAGGAAGTCCTCAAAAAAAAAAGGTCAGGAGGAAAAGAATGAGTGACAGACAGAGAATGACACAGACGGCACGAGAAGGACAGCGCATGTGTTGTGACAGAAGCATAAATGAAGCTTTATGGAAATGACCGGCAGCTTTGTGATATCAATGGCAGCAAAGATCATCAATAACCCTGCGTTTCCCTGTAGGTCAGCCGGCAGCAGTGTCCAGTCACACACAAGCTCAGTCCTGTCACTGCTGATCACCACAGGCATTGAAAGACAGGCACATCACTGCCTCTGTGATTACAACCACAATTACACGGCACTCACTCACTACACATGCCTCTAATATGTGTGGGTGTGTTTCTATTGATTTATATGTGAGTGGATTAAACTTTTGGACGGGATTGTGGGCTGCAAATTTTCTTCTCTGCATTATTATGGAAATTGCTTTGTGTGTTGCAGCAGCACACTGTCTGTCAGCAATCAAGACGCTTAGCACTTGCACATTCTGCTCATGGCAATCGCACTGAGCCAAAAGAGTGTGAGGAAGTGAAATCTAACTGTGTTTCTTGAGCTCATAGAAAATCATCATCTTTATGGCTTTATGGCAACTTTTAGGTAAAATCTGCTGCATATAAACACTGCAGAACCCATCAAGCACAAAAAGAGTGATAAAGAAAAATAACATTTCTCATTCATCATAAACCACTGGCATTGATATAAGTAATATGAAAAAGAAAAACAGAAAACTCTTTTGCACTGCTCTAAAGACAAAAGGATTTTAGAGTGTGTGCATAAGGCGATTTCTGGTGGACAGATTGAATGAGTGGATGAGTGGAGGAGTCTCTCCGGGAGATTATTGACCCAGAAGCTCATGAGAGGTGGAGGAGGAAGAGGAGGAGGAGCCTACAACCAAATGGCTTGGAGATAATGATGAACTGGCATGGAACAACAGGAAATACAAGGAGGATCCCTTTTCCTCACTATGACTGCAGGACATTTATTGGCAATGCAAACTAACAGCATTGAGGTTGAATACTTACCGTGATATGTTGCACAAGTTCTATTGTCTTTTCCACATTCCATTTATATAAGTGGCCACTGAAATTTGTTTTCCAGGTTGATTCTTATATTTGGTACCTTTATATCCAAGCATGTGCTTTCAAAGATGAAAGCAATAAATATTGACTGCATAAAAGTTGTCCCTAATATTTTCTTTAAATAGGCCTTGCCGTCTTAGGAGGTGTGGAATTGTTGTAGAGAGGGCAAGTCAGGGGAACGTATAGGATGACAGAACAATATGATGCTGAATGAACTGCTGATGTGACACGTTAAAGGAATCTACTATTTGATTGTATTGAGATCTATACACTCACGTACCTCCAGACCTGTGCCAGCTGAAAAACGTGCACGAAGCTTTGGAAGAGCCACACGCAGGCTCTGCAGCAGCTCTGAGCATTGCTCCGGGTTCCGGTGACCGCAGCGGAGCGGCCAGCGCCCCGCTGATCGCTGTCCTTGGTGCTGAAGTGGCTCTCCGCATTGGACGCCGCTACCAATGCAGCCGCAGCCGTGCCGCTCCCGTTGGCGTCCGAGTAATCGTAGGCGAACCATCGGAAGCTGAGCACCTGCACCACCACAGACGGAATGATGATAAATACGAGTGTCAGAGCGAACCACCAGTAGTCCCGTCTGAGATAGTATTCGGCAGCCAGCCACAGGTCTGAAGCCCCGTCCGAGAAAAAGACCAAGAGGGCGCAGAGGGTCCAGCAGCAGTCCAGGAGCGAATACTCCTTCCCGACGGGACGCCACTGTGGCGAGCGCTTCTCCAGCCCGGGGAGGCACGTCGCCGGAATGTCATTCTGCAAAGAAACGGCTGTACCGTCTGATTTCGCGGCCATGTTTGTTGTAGAAAAGAGAGTAGATGAAAAGGAGAGACGGGCGTGTGGGTGGGAGGGGGTCGTGTGTCTGTGTGGGAGGGAGAAAAGAGGGCTGGGACTGGGACGAAAACGCTTCTCGTCATTCCTGCTTGAACATCTAGCTCCTGTTTTTCCACATGAAAGCAATTTATCACGGCAGTCGATGCCAGTAACATGACATGACAGTAGGTGTGCAAGCACGTGATTAGTTTTTGTTCACAAGCCTTTAATGTGATATTGCTATGATGAACAAAACAGCGATAGGTGGATGACATCCAGCCTCGCGGCCTGGGACGAAAGGTGCAGTCCTGATTCAGATTCAATTTAGCGCCTGAATCTCGTTGTCTCAAGCTGGATAAGTTTACGGAAATATAGTAAGGTAGCCCATATTAAACAGTTCATACCCAAATTATGTAACAGGCACAGAAATGATGTCCAGGCTTTTTTTTACTACGCTAAATGCAGCCTACTGTACATCAGATAGCCTACATTGAAACAAATTAGTTCAGTAGCATCATGTAAGTTATTTAATTAACACTATTTTTATATTTTATATTATATTTAAATAAAAAATCCTAAATATGGGGTGGGACTGGTTTGATTATGTGTAGCAAAAAGGATATGTTAATGTAAATGTACATTAGACAAAGCTATAGCAGTTAAAATGCTTCTGACTCTTCGGAGTCTCATTGCCTTGTAAACAGCGGCGCCCCATGGGTATAGTAGCTAAATGAAGTCATAATCTTCCCTTGTAGTGCAAATGCAGTCATTTAAAACAGCTCCCACCACCACAGTAGCCTAAGTACATATTAACATACAAAACTCTGTTTAAAAAAGCGAATAAAGACAGAAAATTTAGAGTCAAGTCTTTGTAGATATTTGATTATTAACCAAAGGTTTACTACATTTTACTGCAATCAAGTTTTTTTTAGCAAGATTTTCAGATGACAAGCTACTCACCTAACTCAAGTTGTGCAATAGCAAATAATGAAATATCCAAATATATGCTATCAATTTTGTATTTTCATATTTACTTATCACTCGGGGCATAACTCTAAATGTGTTGTTTAAAAGGAAACCAATAAAGAATTTAAGTTATTGTTGACCCTCTGCTTTATGCAGCAATAGACTGAAACTTCAGATGTGTGCTAGTACTGCCACCTCCTGGAAATGCGGGCACTGATTGCAGCTTGGCTCGGAAGTGAAAGACAGGTGAAACATTAAAGACACATAAGTGGATAGATCGAGACTGAAACACTGAGGTGACCGAGCTTTTACAGTAGCAGGCCTCAAATTATGGAATAGTCTACCACTCAATCAGAACAGTTTCGTCATTTGCTACTTTCAAATTAAAGCTTAAAAAACAATTTATAAATGTAGATCCTTAGTGTACTTTATTAACCTTCAATTGTATTATATTTAATGTATTATTTATTCTATCACTTGTAATTGTATCGATTAATTTTATTATATTGTATTATTCTTTTACTGATTAATCTGTCCTGTTCAGCACTTTGGTCAACCATGGGTTGTTTTTAAATGTGATGAATGAATGAATGAATGAATGAATGAATGAATGAATGAATGAATGAATGAATGAATGAATGAATGAATGAATGAATGAATGAATGAATTCATCCATCCATCCATCCATCCATGAATGAATCCATCCATCCATCCATCCATCCATCCATCCATCCATCCATCCATCCATCCATCCATGGTCACTTCCCGACAAATTGGGTAAAGTATATTCTACTAAGAAAAATTTAACTAGCCAGTTCATCTCTGGTACTGCCTGGTCTTAAAAGTGAGATGGTATGGCTTAGCCAGACAGCGATTTGACCTTAAAAAGCAATATGAGAGGAAGAGGAAGATTGATATGTTGGTATATGAATTTTATCAGTAGTTATGTATTGGTATTTACATACAGTATATAAATAAACATAATAATAAAATGAAATGCATGTACAGTAGTTGAAAACACAATTCTTCCCCAAAAAAAGGGCGGACCTGGAAGAGTAGGTGTCCATGGCGGAGCCAGAAGAGTAGAAGACCACCACAGCAGATCAGGCAGAACTGGGGACCACCACAGTGGACGACCTCCAGGTCAGAGCAGGCAGAACTGGACACCACCACAATGGATCAGGCGGAGCTGGAAACCACTACGGTGGAGCAGAAGACCACCTTTTGGGGGCGACCTCCGTGGTCGTGTCAGGGCCGACAGAGAGTTCAGGGATCACCTCTGTGGTCGTGTCAGGGCCGACAGAGAGTTCAGGGATCACCTCTGTGGTCGTGTCAGGGCCGACAGAGAGTTCAGGGATCACCTCTGTGGTTGTGTAAGGGGGGGCCGACAGAGAGTTCAGGGATCACCTCTGTGGTCGTGTCAGGGCCGACAGAGAGTTCAGGGATCACCTCTGTGGTTGTGTAAGGGCCGACAGAGAGTTCAGGGATCACCTCTGTGGTTGTGTAAGGGCCGACAGAGAGTTCAGGGATCACCTCTGTGGTCGTGTCAGGGCAGACAGAGAGTTCAGGGATCACCTCTGTGGTCGTGTCAGGGCAGACAGAGAGTTCAGGGATCACCTCTGTGGTCGTGTCAGGGCAGACAGAGAGTTCAGGGATCACCTCTGTGGTTGTGTAAGGGCAGACAGAGAGTTCAGGGATCACCTCTGTGGTCGTGTCAGGGCCGACAGAGAGTTCAGGGATCACCTCTGTGGTCGTGTCAGGGCAGACAGAGAGTTCAGGGGCGACCTCCGTGGTCGTGTCATGGCTGACAGAGAGTTCAGGGATCACCTCCGTGGTCGTGTCAGGGCCGAAAGAGAGTTCAGGGATCACCTCCGTGGTCGTGTCAGGGCAGACAGAGAGTTCAGGGATCACCTCTGTGGTTGTGTCAGGGCAGACAGAGAGTTCAGGGATCACCTCCGTGGTCGTGTCAGGGCAGACAGAGAGTTCAGGGATCACCTCTGTGGTCGTGTCAGGGCAGACAGAGAGTTCAGGGGCGACCTCCGTGGTCGTGTCAGGGCAGACAGGACGTTCAGGGGTGACCTCCGTGGTTGTGTCAGGGCAGACAGGACTTTTAGGGCAACCTCCGTGGTTGTGTCAAGGCAGACAGAGAGTTCAGAGGGCGACCTCCATGGTCGTGTTAGGGCAGACAGAGAGTTCAGGGGCGACCTCCGTGGTCGTGTCATGGCTGACAGAGAGTTCAGGGATCACCTCCGTGGTCGTGTCAGGGCCGAAAGAGAGTTCAGGGATCACCTCTGTGGTCGTGTCAGGGCAGACAGAGAGTTCAGGGGCGACCTCCGTGGTCGTGTCAGGGCCGACAAAGAGTTCAGGGATCACCTCTGTGGTCGTGTCAGGGCAGACAGAGAGTTCAGGGATCACCTCTGTGGTCGTGTCAGGGCAGACAGAGAGTTCAGGGGCGACCTCCGTGGTCGTGTCAGGGCAGACAGGACGTTCAGGTGCGACCTCCGGGGTGGTGTCAGGGCAGACAGAGAGTTCAGGGGCGACCTCCGTGGTTGTGTCAGGGCAGACAGGACGTTCAGGTGCGACCTCCGGGGTCGTGTCAGGGCAGACAGAGAGTTCAGGGGTGACCTCCGTGGTTGTGTCAGGGCAGACAGGACTTTTAGGGCAACCTCCGTGGTTGTGTCAAGGCAGACAGAGAGTTCAGAGGGCAACCTCCGTGTTCGTGTCAGGGCAGACAGCACGTTCAGGGGCGACCTCCGTGGTCGTTTCAGGGTAGACAGAGAGTTCAAGGGCGACCTCCGTGGTCGTGTCAGGGCAGACAGTGAGTTCAGGGGCGACCTCAGTGGTCGTGTCAGGGCAGAAAGGACGTTCAGGTGCGTCCTCCGTGGTCGTGTCAGGGCAGACAGGACGTTCAGGTGCGACCTCCGTGGTCGTGTCAGGGCCGACAGAGAGTTCAGGGACGCCCTCCGTAGTCATATCAGGCCCGACAGATAGTTCAGGAATGACCTCCGTGGTCATGTCAGAGCAAACAGAGAATTCAAAGGCGGTCTCCTTGGTCATGTCAGAGCAGACAGAGAGTTTAAATGCAGCCTCCTTGGACATGCCAGAGCTAGCAGAGAGTTCAGGGACAGTTTCCTTGGCCGTTATCAGATAGGCTAAGGGTTCACGAGCAGACACCGCCGTCCCGGGAGGAGTTGTAGATGTGCATCACAAACACATAAGATTGCCATTACAGGATGCACAGCCGATGGCGGTAGGACCTCTGGGACTGACCACCGGACTTGGGACAACCGGACTTGGATGCACGGAGACCACCTGACTTGGATGCGATAAGACTCGACAAGGAACACAAGAAACACTGGGGTTTAAATACACAAGGGGTTATAGGCAAACAAGACACACCTGGGAATAAATCACAGAAATAATTAGCAAGAACTACAAAGGACTACAAAACATGGCACGGCACAGGAAATAACATAAAAGTCCATGGGACCAGGGGAACCATTTTTGTGCGTGTATGTGAGAGAGTATTTGTGCGTGTGTTAGTTGGGAAAGAAAGGGTAAGGAATACAGATCATAAACCTATTATCTGATCCACACTCCGGAGCAGAAGGTGGCAGTAAACCAACAAGCTGAATGCCAACCGCCGTAAAACAAAAAAGAAGAAGACGACCTCTAGGGGAGCGTGATTTCCCCCGGATCCCTAAACCTAACCGTCATTGTAACCTTAATCAAAGAAATTAGCTGCAGGGCGGGATTTCCACTGAAATGATTTGGGGGGAAAAATTATTCTCCAGGGGAACACAGGCCAGGATCATGACAATAGTAAAGTGATTTTCAATCATCATTGACAGGCTGAGACGAAGATATGGACAAAACACATCTTTCTTAATTCAGGGTCTTCTGGCAGCTTTATTTACAAAAATGAAATGTCCTCAATAATTTCAATGACTAGCTAGTCAGAAATTATCAATATGGTTAGTGAAAAAGAAAATGACAACCAAAAAAGGATTTGTGGGTTATAATTATTCTTAATAAGATCTAATTGTTGTTTACTAATAAATAATACTTGACCAGAAATTGTATTTATATTTTTATTCAGAGATATTTGTATAATATATAATAAATATAACACTTTATTATTTTATGACACATTTTCATTTATGTATTTGCCAGACACTTTTATCCAAGGAGACTTACATTGTATTTAAAGTATTTTATCGGTTCATGCAGTCCCTGGTTATCAAACCAATTGGCACAAAAAGAATAAGACAATACGTTCTTCTACACATTCTAAAATGCAACATGCATTATTCAGTCACTCTCTACACAACTTATTTCCTCACTTAACCAATCTGTATAGAAGAACAAGAAGTTAATTTATGCACTCTTTATAATTTGCGTCCCTTCAGCCAAGAATATAATTAAAATAGTTTAAAAGCTGAAGTGGGACAGGATGAAGCATGGCATAAGGAGCATGTATCAAGCATTAGAAGACCATCTGGTTGGCACTTCACACCACACAGACAAAAACAGATGTTTCTAAGATCCTTCACAACAGCGTGTTCCTTGAAAGCTGGCCAAGATCAAGAAAACATCCTCTCAATCCCACCACGGAACAAACGGATGAAACTCAGAAATCAACAGTTGCTTTTTTTCTGGGAAAGATTATTGTCTTCGTTAGCACCAACCTGTCATGAATCACTGTCAAACCATTTAGTTGAAAATAAATACTTACAAGCTCGTCATTATATACAGGAAAGTACTTTGTCATCAGTACTGTGATATCTCAGTCATTAAATATCAATTTCTTTAAATAACGTTACTGTACTCTTTTAAGTATCTAATATACTGTACACTACTATTCAAAAGTGTGAGGTCTGTTTCTGAAAGATGTTTATACTCAACAAGGCTGTATTTATTTAATTAAAAACAGGGCAGTAAAAACAGTAATATTGTGAAATATTATTTTCTTTTTAAATATATTTTAAAATTATTATTTTTTTCTATATGATGGCAAAAGATTTTTTTCTGAACACTTATTGTCAATGTAGAAAACAGTTGTGATGCTTAATATGTTTGTGGAAAACGTTATTCTTTTTTTCAGGATTCTCTGATGAATAGTCAAGTCAAGTCAAGTCATCTTCATTTATATAGCGCTTTTAACAATACAGATTGTTCCAAAGCGGCTTTACAGTGATAAAGAGTTTTTAGTTTAGTTTTAAGAATAGAAAGAATAGCATATATATACACATATATATATATATATATATATATATATATATATACTGTATATATATATATAGTCTTGACTGTCACTTTTGATCAATTTATTGCATCCTTGCTGAATAAAAGTATTAATTTCTTTCAAAAATAAATTACTGACCCCAGACTTCTGAACGGTGTATATATGTTGATATGTAATTTACTCAAAAGTTAGGCTACACATGCACACACACACATACATTTTTTAACAGCTGTTAAAAAAATAAATCAACAAATATTTTGCATGTGCAATTCCAATAAACCAGTTTCATAACAAAAGCAGTGCACTTAGAAAATAAAATACCAATTACATCGTAATTAAAAGTATAAGATAATATAAAAGTAAAATAATTTAAAATAATTATTTTGTATAAATAAAATATAATTAATTGGTTATTTATATAAGGGCTACAATAAACCATGTAAAGATTATACATTATAAGACTCAAAAAGCAGGGGAAAAGGCCCTTTTTTGTTCCATGTGAAACAATCCATACTTCCAATTCTGAATCACCACAAATCCTCTGCCAGCTAAATTCCGAGGTTACCATGCAAGAATACAGCCATAAACTCTCTAATCCACACACATTGGAATGGCACCTTCATCAATAACCACCTCTTTTTCTTCCTCCTCAGCACATTCTCTCTCCTGCCTCAGTGATCTCTTGCGCTGCTCGTCTAGGAGCAAACTGGAGTTGGCCGGGATACAGAACTCACGGAAGCACCGCTTGAAGTTTTCATCCAGGAAGGCATAGAGGACAGGGTTTAAGCAACTGTTAGCATAACCCAGAGCAATGCAGAAATGCATGGCTGCAATTGAGGACTGCCTGGCCCCAAGATCCACATGCCCCAAAGCCTGGATCAAAGCTAAGACCTGCACCGGCATCCAGCACAACACAAAAGCAGCTACCACAGACAGTACCATATAGGTGATTCTCCTCAGATTCCGGTCTTTCTCTCTTGAGCCGGACAGGAGACGGACACTGTGCAGTCGTCGTACCATCAAGCCGTAGCAGACGCTTATGATCACCACAGGAATCAAGAAAGAGAAGAGGAACACACAAATCCCAAACACTGGCCCCCAGTGTTCTTTTGGTTTAGGCAGGTTCAGTATGCACTCGGCACCTGCACAGAGATAAAGTCAGGGAATGAATCAAAAGTTTCATAGTGCCTTGATTTACAATGAATCATGAGCGGACTGATGAAATGGAAAGCAACATCTTCCTTTTTTGGAAGGGAACACAAGTGAGCAGAGTGATTGAATGGATGCATGTTTACTATTCAAAAGTGCACAAAGTCAATTTCTTCTGCTTAATAAGTTCTTCTGAACAGCACTTTTGACAAATACACAACTGTTCAAAAGTTTGGGGTCGGTAAGATTTTTTTCATGTTTTTAAAGTATTTTATGCTCACCACGGCTATGTTTATTTAATAAAAAATACAGTAAAACGTAATTACGTAAAAAAGAATACGTTAAAATGTAATGTATTGCTGTGATGGCAAAGCTGATTTTCCTCCAGTCTTCAGTGTCACATGATCCTTCAGAAATCATTCCAAAATGCTTATGTTGAAAACAGTTCAGTCGTGACAACTCTCGCAGTGGATAAATTTCAAGAGCATTTAAAGCATGGAATATACATAGGCTTGATTTTGGCGGACGAGATCTGCTACGCTGCTGCTGTTGCTGAGCAAATACACAAATTTGTTCAGCTTAGTCAAAAATAACAAAGGAAAGGCTGCTGCAAGAATGGTAGAACCCCGTAGCAGATCTACAGGTGGCGCTGGGGAGGAGGAGGGATAAGGGAAGCTTTCATATCGTGCAGCGTGCCGATACGGGCTAGGGTACGATAAATATAATGATCACAGGGATTTGGAAGTGCTTCTGATTGGCTCGTGCCGCGCCGTGAAAGACCTAATCAGCATTCGGTAGTTTCATGCCTGAACTTTATATTTGTGCTACTTAACATATTTGTGGAAACCGCAATACATATTTTTCAGTATGAATTGAGGTTCAAATGAACAGCATTTATTTTTAAATGAAATCTTTTGTATCATTATAAATGTCTTTACTGTCACTTTTGATCAACTAAATGCATACTTGCTGAATAAAAGTATTAATTTAATAAAAAATACTTTTAAATGGTAGTGTTTCAAATGTTGTACACTATAATAATTCAAGTAATCATTATTAATCAGTCATATAAGGGTATATTTTAATTGTATTTAAATGCCAATTTGGTTGATGCTAATTGAATGTTTGTTTGCTTTTTTAGATCAAACAAAAATTGGCAAAAACTTGCTTAGTGCACCTTTAAATCATGGTAAGACTTTATATATTATCATTTTAGGTACAACTGCCTAAGTAAAAGTAAAACATCAACATGACAACATCAATCAGACAAAAATAGATTCACATTTTCATGACATGATGAACCAACATGCTCCAGAATGGCAGGTTGACACAGGATAATGAGAAAACTACCGTAAACATCCTCCTCCACCTGACCCATGATCATAACAGGCAGTCCCACAGCTGATGCCAGCACCCACACCGCCACGTTGATCAGCTTGGCCCGGAGCGGGGTGCGAACTGTCAGGGAGCGAACGGGGTGGCAGATGGCTATGTAGCGATCCACACTCATTATGGTCAAGGTGAAGACACTTGTGAACATGTTGTAATAGTCAATGGCCATCACAACCTTGCACAGAGCCAAACCAAATGGCCAGAAACCAAGGATGACATCCGTGCCTTGGAAAGGAAGAGTGGCCAGGACTAGTGCATCAGCCAAGGCCAGGTTAAAGATGTAAATGTTGGTGGCCGTTTTCATCTTTGTGTACCTGCAGCATGTACAAATATCACTCTTAGAAGAATAAGAGTAATTAAATAAGAGTAATTAAAGCTGGAGTGTTTCATTTCTGAATACAAATAAATATATAATACATTTTCATAAAAAAAAATACTATATATATGTGTGTGTTTTTGTTGTTGTTTTTTTTGCATAAAACAAGATTTTTAACAAATAAAAAACTTCAAATAACTAAATAAAACCTAGTTTATGTTTATATGCATCAAAGATTCTCAGAGATATTTTTATTTAAATAAAGTCCTTTTTAACTTGGAAACACAGTATTATATTATATTTATCATCTGCCATTGTTTGAAATGCCCTGCTAGATGGCATGACCTATTGACAAAGACAAGGACAAGCAAGAGCATCATTCAAAAAACACATGACCATGACTATAGAGGAATCTTCAGTATTCCACGTGTTATATAATGATGAATATTTCATGTGAACTATAAAGCAGTCATTCTTATCTTCAAATATGCAGTTTAAAAGTGATCAAATTAAATATATTGTCTCTTTCTGGATATAGGTAGACTGCCACTTTTCAGTCCAAATTCAGTAAAGCTCTGAGACAGGCTTAGAAGGTAAATAAATTGCAGGCAGTGCTTGGTAACCAGCCTAGCAACAGGTTTTAAAATAAGCCCATAGGACTATATATCAGCACGTCTGAGTAATGACCATAAATACGTGAATGCATGAACACGCATCACAACACAGAGCTTAAAGACAAAGACGTATTGCTTTTCCCACGTATAAACAAGCATGCACAAACTATATCTTTAAGGATGTTTTCCCTTAATAACATGAGGTGATGCAGTAAATCTATTTTCTGACTCGTAATTATGAGGCAGTTTTCCTTGTACATTAGATCAGCAAGGAATTCCTTCATAATTATACCTTCAACAAAATACAGGCATGAGAGAGGCGAGACAAAATTACTAGATGGCAATGTTTGTCAAACGAGTGCGAGTCGGTAAATTAGGAGGACATTTTGCATTTTCGCTCTGCAATCAAACCTACATAATTCCACTTTCCCTGAATTAAACCTCATGTTTAATGATTGTAACACTCATTGTGTATAATGTGAACTCCTGTGCTGATCGAAAAGCTGTGTCTTGGCCCCCGTCTACAGCTGTTTCACGCCAGGGAGGTTTGGACAAGAACCAAATGTTTATTTAGCATTGTAATGAACAAGCAGGCTTGTGACACCACGTTGGCAGGACAAGTGCTCCGATGGATTAGCAAGCATCAGAAAAGAGAAAATGCTGTCGCAAATATTTCACTGTGCAGTTCAGGGCAAGAACAAGACAAAAATGAGTTGCAGGTCTGATCTGGTGAAAAAAACAATGCAATTAATAACATAGCTATATACGGTGATTGTTTTAATCATTTTAAAAAGGGAGAAAACGCTTCTCATATCTTTTTTTGCGTTCAATCAAACTGTTCTGTATTTGGCCGAAAAAATTTTGGTAGAAGAAAACCAAATTAGGAAACTTCTGTGTTGCGTGAAATCTGAGTGCAAACAAATCCAGCTGAGTACCACCCAACATACATTAAAACCTAAAATGAACATTCCCAGAAATGTAGCTATTGGTTTTCCTGAAAATAACCGCATGAGAACCATATATTAACGTTAGGGGCGCTTCTATAATCGAAAATGTGAATCATAAGAAACATTTCAAATAATGACCCAAGTTAATAAAAAAAGACATGATGAAGTAATGTTGCAATAACATGAACATATGATGAAGCTTTTTTTAACCCTATAAAGTATCATATTTGATTCATGAAGTTCTAAAGCTTCTAAATATCAACATGATCAAAACTTTATTGCAAAATGCCTTAGTTCAAACGTTTTAGCAAGTAAAGGCCTTTTAGTAAAATTCTATAATATACTATACATAGTTCAGGTCGTGGTCTTTTTGTTGTGAAATTTTAAATAACTTTTATAAAGTAAATGTAAATATAACATTTATTTTGTTTGAAGACAAACATTTGGCTGGACTGAGGCAATTTGGGTTTACCTGATTATCCATACATCAGTTTATAAAAAGAATAGTAAGTAATAGCTTCAAATGTGATACAATGGGTTTTTGAGGCTTTTATTTGTACATCTCATAATCATCATTGTATTGCATTGCATTATTATGTTTTGTCCCCTGCAATTAATGCTATGAGCTTTGATCATAAAACATTTAAATATGATCTTACTAAGACATATTGGGAAACACAAAGTAACGACTGATATTTATATGCGTTTTATGTAAGTAGTTTACTATACTGTTATAAAAATCTCATTGATTTACATTACAAGCAGAATTTCATCTTACTTTTTGATCATATAAAAAATAACATTGCACTAAAATGCATATTTGTGCTCAATTTGGGTTATTTTCTTCCTCGAGTGTGAGCTCCATATTCTCACTATATTATAATATGTATGGCATGGGGCGGGCCATAAAAGCCTTATGTATCAAATATGATGCAGAAAATAAAACACATATGTTCCATATCAAAAAAATCTGAACTTCCAGACTATTATTACATATGGGAGGCTTTACAGTGCTAACTTTATAAATATCCCTTCTCGCCTCAAATGCTTTAAACTGATTCTCCTCTATATTTGACCATATCGACCTCTCACTAGTCTAGCTAGTTAGTATACACAAAGTTAATATGCAGCAGACCGAACACTTATTCTCACCTGATAATTACATACATGACCAGACAGTTCCCCACGAGCCCCACCACGCACACTATCAAGTAGACCACAACGACGGTGATCTTTGCGCTCCTAGGCAGCGGTTCGTCACCATCTAGCCCACTTAAATTCCCCTGAAAACGCGAGTCGTTGAACATCTGTTGGACGTCGGACAACTCGAGCAATTCCATCGTGAAGAGAGCGCCTAAAACTGTAGAAGAGAACATAGAATACTAACAAAAACTTGTATATGTCTCACAACAAGCAATTGAATAGACTCCAATCAGGTTTAAACGACGCCCACACCATTCAATATCTTTGTATCCTCTCTGAGGGAGTAGTATTGTAAAGTAGGCTACTTACCTCATGAAAGTGCAAACCAAGCTTAAAGTATGTGACGCTGTCCGGTGACATTGCAGAGAGGTGGATCCATCTTAACTCAAGAAAAAAGACATTCTTGCCGCTAAAGATTTCATGCGCAGCGAGACGAATCTCCTCACCGTAGAGTGCGTCGTTCACTTCTCGCACATTAAGACGTTACAGTAATCAAACATTGCGCGTGCGCGCGCTCGCGTGACGCGTCTGAGTACAAGTTTAGCTCCAGGGTTGGTTGCTTGCTACACTTTTCATTCCTTGTTGAGTATCTCTATTCTAATGGAACAAACATTGAGATAACCTAGCTAGGTACAAAAGAAATCTTAAGTCCCTGGGTTTAAAAGTTTAAAAATTTAATGTCACAAAATATTTGATTTATTATGATAGGCTAATTGATGTTTACAATATTTTTTTGTAAAAGAAAAAATGAATCAGTATTAATTATGTACACACATTCTTTAAATACTGTATAAACTAAAAATACAAAAAAGTGATTTAAATAACCAGTAGCAAGACTCACTGTTTTGTCTTTTTTTGTTTTCAAGACTCACTGTTCTGCTCCTCAATATATAGTAACAGTTAGGATTAGACTATTCAAAGCATGTGGAAGCAAAGTAGAACATCATCTTAGCTGATACAGAACTAAACAGGTTAACCAGTTTACCTGGTATAATAATTTCGGACTATTATGACTATATTTTCGAAATGGTCAAAAGGTTGCAGTCTTTTAAGCTTCAGTCTATGGAGACATCAAGGCATCCAGCCAAAAGTGCATTGCAATAATTGAGTCTTAAAGTTATGAATGAATGACCTAACTCCTCAGTGTCTTGAATATATATATATATATATATATATATATATATATATATATATATATATATATATATATATATATAAGAAATTCCCATATAAATGTAGCAAAAGAAAATTACTAGACATGTAGTTTTTGATGCAATCTGCCATCTTGGAAAACTGTCAAGTTTCATCTGGTCTAGAGGAAATATGGAGCTGTTTGTCTTCTGCATAACAATGAAAGCTAAAGGCTAACGCTGCCTAAAAGGAGCATGCAAGAGTGTTATTGCTTTATACAGAGAGAAACTGCCCTCTGCTGAAGGGCATTGCACAAGATAAGCTGCAACCTTTTTGCCTTGGAATTCACCACAGACCTCATGTGAAATATCATATGACTGTTTCAGAACAATGAATTCAGCAAAACAATAGGTGGATAATATTGGTGAAATATTGAGATTTGGAGCATAATGCAGTTAAAGGTCATTATAGGCTATACCCATGTGTCTTCCGTTGAGATTAGTTACTTGGATGAACTAAAACAATTATAAATGCACATAAATATAATGAGGAACCAAGTGAAGAGTACTAAGTACTGCTTTCGAAATAATATTGTGGTAGCTTTACACTTTAAGATTATTTTGCTGTGCAGCGTTTAAAGCACAGAGCTAAGTAAAACACTCACATATAACCTTGAGAGGAAAATTTACAATGCCTTTGCCAGTGCCATCTTATTTACAGTGAAAGCCTTTACTCATGGCTGTTGGTGATGCAGTATGACAGAGAGAGAGAGAGAGAGAGAGAGAGAGAGAGAGAGAGAGAGAGAGAGAGAGAGAGAGAGAGAGAGAGAGAGAGAGAGAGAGAGAGAGAGAGAGAGAGAGAGAGAGAGAGAGAGAGAGAATATTTTTATAGTTATGTTGTGCTGTGGGCTACAGCGTGTTTATAAGGCAGCACACTCGGCTGACACCACTCAGTTCGTGGTGGAGATAAATGAGGGGATATTTTGTATCCCTGTGGAGAACATTCGCTGAAATGTGAGGCAATCAATTTTCGACCAGCACTCACAAAACAGCAGCTCTGAAAAGCAGAGGTTTGAAGACTCCGAGCGATGCCAGGGACAAAATGAGCCAATGAGCTGGAGAGGAACTGGAAATGATAGCAGTGACAGGCGAGAGGCAATGTGGTGACAGGTGGAAGAGAAACAAAAGGTATAAAAACGAGTAATGTGAAATGGACACTGAATTGTTCATTTGAAATGCCTCTTCCTCACCAAGCCATGCTATGTGTGTGCCTTGAAGCATGTGTGTTTTTAATGGCATTTGGGTTCAAAACAGAAACAAACATGCTGGATAAATATATTTTCCTCTCAAAAGAGATTCTATGTGTTTAGACAAACACAACGTTAACCCTGTGTATAATCACCATTACATCGCCTTTAAATGCCCTCCAGTGCAATTGAATGAGGAGTAATGGCTAATAGAAACACTTAGAAAGTCTGAGATAATGACATTCACAATACCAGTGACCTGAGTGCTCAATAAAAGCACGTCCTTAAGAGTTCCGCATGGAATGCAGCAATCGTTATTAAAGAAGAGGAGACCAGAGGGAAATTGTCACACGCTCAATAACTCAAATGAGAAGTAATGATTAAAATGAATCAGCATAGCATGTTCAGTAAGACACTTTATCTGACAGAGAAAGAAAGGCCATTTCACATAAGTGTCTTTAAGATCTCTGCAATAACATTTTGATCTCCATTATTTTTAAGATGTTCTGTTAAACTTGAATGAGATCAATAAGCTTCTAGCTAGTTAGTTGTTAAAGGTGCTCTAAGCGATGTCACGCGTTTTTCGGCCAAAACATTTTTTGTCACATACAGCAAACATCTCCTCACTATCCACTGGCTGCCTGTCCCCTGAACACACTGTAAAGAAACGCGATCTCTGTAGACAGCCCAGGCTCCACACACAGCAACAAAAACAAACTGCGGCGACCCGCTCCCCGAAACATGACAAACAGTTCCAGCCAATCACCGACAAGAAGGACTTGGGGGCGGGGTTTGGGGGGTTAGTGCGCGGATGAGGAGGAGGGAGGGTCTAGCTAGCCTCCGTTTTGTTTGACAATACTTTAAACGTCAACAAGAAGTGACGTCACCCGACATCGCTTAGAGAACCTTTAATCTTGGTTGCAGCAAAGCAGAATTTAATTATGGCTGCTAGACAATTCTGATTTTAACACTTGTTAGGTTTATACTTTTTTGTAAATGTATACTAACATCAGTATAATGACCTTGTTCTTTCGCCTAAAATAGATTAATGTTTCAGAAGATTAACAAATAATATAAGATATAATGTAAAATGATATAATATAATATAAGATATTATTGTATATAGTGTTCATACATGTCTTAGAGCTATAATTAAAATTGCACCAGTATCTTCCTAATTAAGAGAATGTGTTTCATGTGAAATTATGAAAAAGACAATATGATATTACCCTGCCCTCTTCTGGTGATATTAGGTATTACGGAACAGCAGTTTTCAATTATCCTACTACTTACTTCCGTCACTGGTCCACTTGTTAAATTAAAGGGGAGGGACTGAAATATTAAATTATGTCCTTACATACAAAATGAAAAACGTCATTCACTCAAAAAACACACTCGGGGAAAAATGAACGTAGCCTACTGAACTGTGCAACTCTTTATGCTCATTTATTATTAATCACCAACATCGAACACAAGCAGAAGGATTTTATTCCACTGGAGGCGCCAAAGTTTTAGTTTCAAGCTTTTAAACGTAATTTACAAAATATATAATAATAGGCTATATTTACACATATGAGCATTCATGTAGGCCTACTGTGCATAAATATTTACTTACACTTCAAGACAAGTTTTACAATTTTGAGTTAATTACGCCCCCAAAGTCACAACCTTCAGTGAATAGCCTACTCTTCTGCACCACTTCAAAATTAATTACTGATGTGGACAATAATGTTGAAACAGGACACTTATGAAAACACGTTACAGTGCAGAAAATTACTTTATGAGTCAAGTTAATTGTTTTAAAGTAAGTGCGTTTTGACTTTTGAGTTAAAAAAGCACATTTATGATGTTGCTATGGGCAATCTCATTGATCGAGTTGTGTTAGGGTACAAAAAAGGTTTCAGCACTCCAGCATTTTCTTAAACGCCTTTCTGAAACTGTTGTCTAAGAACGCGTAAAGGAACGGATTGAGACACGAGTTGGCATAACTCAGTCCTGTGATAAAATAAGAGATACCTATAACCAGCGGAGTAGTGGGCAAGTCTGAGGTGAGGGCTACCACTGTACTCAGGTGGAAGGGTGTCCAACAGAACAAGCAAACGGCAAGCACGACGAAGACCATCATTGTGACTCGTTTCTTGGCTTTGTCCAGAGCCTTGCCGTTGGAGTTGAGTCGCGTGCGTCTCAGCTTGTAGAGCATCACGCTATAGAGGATGCAAATGGTCGATACGGGGATGACAAACCCGAGGACCAGCGTGTAAGGCAAGGCAAGGCAAGGCAAGTTTATTTATATAGCACATTTCATACACAATGGCAATTCAAAGTGCTTTACATAAAAAAAAAAAAAAAAAAAAAAAAAAAAAAAAAAAAAAAAAAAAATCAAAAGAAATAGGAATAATTAAAACAGTTAAGAATAAAGAGATTAAAATAATCAAAAGAAATAAGAATAATTAAAGCAGTTTAGAATAAAAAATAAAATAAAATACAGTACAAACAGTCGGACACAGTGGCACAGTGCTCATTCAGTAAATGCATAGCTAAACAGAAGTGTCTTGAGTCTGGATTTGAATGTGACTACTGTAGGAGCACATCTGATCTCCTCTGGAAGCTGGTTCCAGCTACGGCTGGCATAATAGCTAAAAGCAGACTCTCCGTGCTTAGAGTGAACCCTTGGTATTTCTAGCTGATGTGATCCTAATGATCTGAGTGATCTGTTTGGTTTATATTCAGTGAGCATATCTGCAATGTATTTAGGTCCTAGGCCATTAAATGATTTATATACCAGTAATAATACTTTAAAATCAATCCTAAATGTAACTGGGAGCCAGTGTAAAGACCTGAGGACTGGTGTGATGTGTTCATATTTTCTGGTTCTGCTCAGAATCCTGGCAGCAGCGTTCTGTATGAGCTGCAACTGTCTTATGGTCTTTTTGGGAAGGCCAGTGAGGAGTCCATTACAATAATCCACCCTGCTGGTGATGAAAGCATGCACAAGTTTCTCTAAGTCTTGACTGGAAACAAAGCATCTAATTCTTGCAATATTTTTCAGATGATAGTATGCTGATTTAGTTATTGATTTGACCTGACTACTGAAACTAAGGTCTGACTCTAGAGACACACCCAGATTCCTCACTTGATTTTTAGTTGTTAGACCCCTAGAGTCAAGGTATGCATTCACCTTGAGAACTTCATCTTTGTTGCCAAACGCAATGACTTCAGTTTTGTCTTTGTTTAACTGAAGAAAGTTTTGGCACATCCAATTGTTTACTTCCTCAATGCATTGGCACAGGGAGTCAATGGGGCTGTAATCGTTAGGCGATAGGGATAAGTAGATCTGTGTGTCGTCTGCATAGCTGTGGTAAGAGATTTGGTTCTTTCTCATTATTTGGCTCATTGGGAGCATGTACAGGTTGAACAGGAGTGGCGCAAGAATTGAGCCTTGAGGGACTCCGCATGTCATGGATGTCCACTCAGACTTATGGTCTCCTATACTCACATAATAACCTCTCCCTTCTAAGTATGACCTGAACCATTTTAGGACTGTCCCAGAAAGCCCCACCCAGTTTTCCAGCCTGTCAAGAAGTATGTCGTGATCGACAGTGTCAAATGCAGCGCTGAGGTCGAGTAGTACCAGCACTGATAATTTGCCGTTATCAGTGTTTAAGCGAATATCATTTATTATCTTTATGAGCGCTGTCTCTGTGCTGTGATGCAATCTGAAACCAGATTGGAAATTGTCAAAGTATCCATTCGAGATTAAGAATTTGTTCAGCTGATTGAAGACAACTTTTTCAATGATCTTGCCTATGAAAGGAAGATTTGAGATCGGTCTATAGTTGCTTAATATGGTCTTATCCAGATTGCTCTTTTTCAGGAGGGGCTTGACAACTGCAGTTTTCAGGGAGTTTGGAAAATTCCCAGAGATAAGTGAGGCATTTACCACTTCTAGGAGATCAGCTTCTAAACAGTTTAACACACTTTTGAAGAAAGATGTGGGAAGTGCGTCAAGGGCGCAGGTTGATGTTTTAAGGTGCTGTACGGTTTCTTCTAAAATTTTGCCATCAATTTCATCAAAATCAGACATAGTAGCTGCTTTCTCAGGTTGTGGTCTGATCTGTCTGACCCCAGTGCAGCTCAATGATGTGCTGATCACCTTTCTGATATTATTGATTTTCTCAGAGAAGAACGAAGCAAACTCCCTGCACTTTCTGTCTGAGAGCATTTCATTGGGAATCTGGCTTGGGGGGTTTGTCAGTCTCTCTACAGTAGCAAAAAGAGTGCGTGTGTTGTTTAAGTTGCTGTTTATAATATTTGACAAGAAAGTCTGTCTAGCTTTGCCTAGTTCCATATTGAAAGCATGGATGGTGTCTTTGTAGATGTTATAATGGACTACAAGTTTGGTCTTCCGCCACATGCGCTCTGTTTTTCTGCATTGTCTTTTCATATTTTGCACTGCTGTTGAGTTTCTCCAAGGTGCTTTTTGTCTACCACTCTTCCTGACTTTCACAGGAGCAATATCATCAATTACACTTTTAACTTTTGAGTTAAAAGAATCAAGGAGAAAATCAACAGAGTCGGCAGATAAGCTTGGTGTTGAAGATATAGCCTTCATAAATAGTACACTAGTGTTCTCATTTATGCATCTCTTCTTGACAGACACAGATCTAGCTTCAATGGCAGGAGAGATCAATATATCAAAGAAAATACAGAAATGATCAGACAGTGCTACATCCTTAATAACAATCGATGAGATGTTTAGACCCTTACTGATAAGTAAATCTAGAGTGTGTCCACGAGTGTGTGTCGGTCCGCGTACATGCTGAATCAGGTCAAAAGTTTTTAAAACAGTTTTGATTTCTTTTGCCATATTGGTTTCTGTATTATCTATGTGGATGTTAAAATCTCCAGCAATCGCAAAACAGTCAAACTCTGAGGAAATTGTTGATAACAGTTCTGTAAAGTCCTCAGCAAAGGCTGAAGAGTATTTTGGAGGCCTGTAAAGAATAATAAGTAAAATGCGTGGAACGCCTTTTAACACAATACCCAGATATTCGAAAGACGGGTAATTACCAAATGATATTTGCTTACATTGATAGACATCCTTAAAAAGAGCAGCTACTCCTCCACCTCTCCTTACAGCTCTGCAGACACTCATGAAAGTAAAGTTAGGAGGAGATGTTTCATTGAGGACTGTTGCACTGCAGCTGTCTTCTAGCCAGGTTTCATTTAGAAACATAAAATCCAGGTTGTATGTGGTTATTAAGTCATTGACTAGAAGTGATTTATTTTTAAGTGAGCGGATGTTTAAAAATGCTAACTTAACAGTCTTACTTTTTGTTCCCACAGCAGTCTTAGTTTGGCGTGTAATAGGCACCAGATTAGATGGGTTTGCTGTACGGCTTTTGAAGGCCTTAGACTTTCTATCATGTAATCGAACAGCAATAGAGGAAGATACAGGCACACTGGGTTCCCGCTTGTTATGTAAACATTTAAGAAAGTTACTGTTGTCATAGCGGAGACCCGACACATATCACTGAGAGCTGGTATCAGTTGTTTTTGGTTGACCTCGGGCCGCTGGAGGAGGGTGTGGGCCCTGGCGCTGTGGCAGAGGCCGAAGAGCTCTCACAGGAGGAGGGGTAGGGCGAGCTGGGCCCACAGGCTTTGGTGGTTGCGGGGCCTGCCGCTTTTTGGTTGACATCTGGGGGCTTGCAGCAAAAGAGTGGGATAGTTTGGTTCCAGCAAACACCAGTTCTTCCATTTTCTCTGAGAAGCACAGAAGTGGAGATGCTGGAGATAGAGAAAATGTGTCTGGTGAGACGGGCTGTTGCTCTGGTGTTATCGGCTGTAATATGCTGTCCTGGTTTCCCTGGCTGTTTTCCAGAAAGTCGTCCTTGGGAGCTGAATCTTGGAGCAGTTCTAATATGTCACATTCTGTCTGTGGTGAGCGCTGTGGGCAGGGCTCAGCAGAGATTGTGTCCGTGAGCAGAAGCTGTTGTGGCTGCATGGTGTTATCATTGTCCTTGTGTGACGTGTCAACCGCATGTCCATTCAGGTGCTGAAGTGAAGTCCTGTGGTCATTCATACTGTGTCCAGGTGTGTGTGTGCCATTCAGGTTGAGTGGTTTGGCACACACTGCAGAAGGATGATTGAGGGAGAAGCAGATATTGTCCTTTAGCACTCTTGAACCAAGTTTGTTTGGGTGGAGCCCATCCTGTTGAAACAGTTGCCTCTGACTCCAGAAAAGATTGAAGTTGTCAATGAAGTTCACTCCTTTTAAATAGCAGGTTTTTTGGAGCCATGTATTAAGCCCAAGCAACCGTGAAAACCTGTTCGTTCCTCTTGCTGGGATTGGTCCACTGATGAATGTTTGAACTTTCAGTCTTTTAAGTGTTTCAAAAAGTTCATTGAAATCCTTCTTAAGGAGTTCTGACTGCTCTTTATGAATATCATTTTTCCCCACATGAATGATGAGTCGATTTGCAGTCTTATGTTTCATCAGAATGTTCTCAAGTTCACTGTTTACATCAGAAGTTGTTGCTTGTGGAAGGCACCATGTAGTTGTATCCCTGATACTAATGTTTCTGATTATCGAGTCCCCCACTATCAGAGTCCTGTGCTCGGCTGCGCTCTGAGCTGAGTGCCGCTGTCTGCTCGACCTTGAGCGCCAGTTAGCATCAGTGTTAGCTACTGGCTGATTCAGTCTGTGTTCGATCACATTCATCACGTTTGGGGATTTCTCATTTACATTCATTAATACTTCAAATCTGTTCTCAAGATGTATAGGCGGTGGTAGGAGACCAGTGTTTGCAATCCTTGTCAGAGCCGTATCTGGGGTAGAGGATGCTACTGCGGCAATATGTGATACTCGTGACAATCTGATGTCTCGAGTGCCTTTGGGTCTCGCTCCCTGTGTGTGCCACCGATTTGTAAGTCGATCGGTTTGTTTCTCTACACTCAGTATGGCCTGTCGAGGAGTACTAGATGCATGGGACTCACCGGCTGTATGCTGAGGGCGTCCATGGCTGATATCTGTTGTGTGTTCCGTCTGGTTCGGTGGTCCCACAAATAACTTTGTTTCAAGAACTACAATCCTTTGTAAAAGTCTCTGGCAGTTAATGCAGCAAGTAGATTCCAGAAGAGGCATTTTCTCTTATCCTTTATGAGTGTAGACTGTACCGCTCTTAGTCACAACACGAAGGCTGAGGTTCTTTTAACTGATGTTTAATGCTCTCTGGACTCAGACATCAACACCGTAGAACTA